GAGAAGGTCCTGTTCACCTTTGGGGTTCTTTGTCATCAACAGCTTGGTTACCTTGGAACAGAATGGCAATGCACAAGTATGGTGAAAGCCATGAAAAGAAATTGGAAACCCATAGGACTCATTCCTTAGGCATGATTGAAAGGTTTGAGCAAGTGGCTGAATTGGTGAAGCTTTCCAAAGGGGGTTCGGTCTCTTTTGCATGGAGCAGGGATTCAGAGGGCTGGACTGAGCCACGTGTGATCTCAGTCATTGAGAGATTGCAGCTCCAACCTGTCCTTGTTGACGGCTGTGCCTTTGGCCCACGCGTTAAAGGGAAATTCCCCCAAACACCATGGTTGATTCAGACAGATAGCCCCCGGCTTTTGAAGGAGTTCTCAACCAAGGTTTGTAGACATGAAAAGGGTTGCCATGATAGTCCTGAAGGTTCCTCCACCAAACCATCATTTATGTACAACATCACGATGGCCACAAGTATCTTGTCTACTTTGTTTCCTGGTGCTTTAGTGGATAAGATCCCTGCTATGCCTGTTTTGCCTTTCAAACTTGATCCCCATAGGGCTAGGCTACAGATTTTCACACTCAAGAACTTTGTGTCATGGGAGCTATCCACAAGCTCTTGACACGAGAAGAGATGAAAGCCGACCCCTTGGCCTTAAAAGCCATCTGGGAAGAGGGCCAAGGTGTACGGGAGAAGCAAGTCTGGGACGACACCTCAGTAATGGAAAAGGCCGACAGGCTTGCTCAGGCCCAAGAACAAAACAAGGTCATTCACATCGCTGATGTCATGCCCATTGCAAGTATCAAATTTTGGGAAACTCCATCAAAACGGAAATATAAAGGTAGGCTTGTTTTCCGAGGAGATCAGGTTCGCGATTCATGGGGTGGGGCTGCGCAATTTGGTGCCATGTTCAGCACACCCACCAACATTCAAGCTATAAATTTAGCAATCTACTACGGTCTCCTTGCGGGCAACGTGCTGCGAGCTGCCGATTGCACACGCGCATTTCTTCAGGCAATGCTCCTCATGGAGGAGGAGACATACGTAGTGCTCCCCCCTGAGTTGTGGCTCCCCTCTTGGGTTGGGAGGTTTCGGCAACCAACGGTGCTGCTCAAAAAGGCCTTGTATGGCCACCCCCTTGCTTCTGCTTGCTGGGATCTTCATTTGAGACAGGTGCTTTTGGGGGATTTGGGTCTGCTGCCAGTAGAGGGTCACCCTAGCGTGTTTTACTGTCCGCATTCGAAACTTTTAGTAGTAGTATATGTGGACGATGTTCTTGTTGCAGGACCAGAGCAGCATCAAGAACAATTCTGGAAGTCTTTAAAAAGCCACATCCAACTGGATGATGTCGAAGTCCTCAATCAGTTCATAGGGCGTAATCATGCATTGCATGACCATATGTGTGTGTTCAACATGGTAGACTACTGTCAGCAAGCCATTGACCTGTACGTTGAGGCTGCGAGGGGCCATGTGAATTTCAGAAAGGTTAGTACTCCGTATGTAAACGAGGGCATGTTGACGCAAGCTGACTATGAGGTTGAAGGACAAATCTCACACAAGGCTTCCAGTGTCCTGATGAAGTTGCTATGGCTTTGCCGACTGGCTCGGCCGGATTTGGCATATTCCATCAGTTCATTAGCTACCCAGGTGACCCGTTGGAGCAAGAATTCAGACAAGCAGCTGTATCGTCTTGTTTCGTACCTCCACTCAACAAGGGATTTGTGTCTGGTGTCAAAAGTTTTTGATGACCCTTCTCAATGTACTCTGGACCTCTTTGTAGATGCGGATCTAGGAGGCTGTCCTTTTAGCGCTAAATCTACATCCGGACTGTTCTTAGTTATCAGGGGACCAGCAGGCACATTTGCACCGATTGCATGGTCGTCAAGAAGGCAGCAGCATGTCGCACGAAGCACCGCTGATGCGGAGCTCAACGCGCTTAGCGAGGGAGTCTATGAAGAGTTATCCCCAGCGTTGATGTTGCTTCAAACTTTGTTGGACGACAATATCCCCAGGGCCGTTGTGAGGGAAGATAATTCAGCGGTAGTCCAAGCGATAAGGAAAGGGTATTCCATCAAATTGCGCCATCTCGCTAGAACCCCCAAATTATCTTTAGCATCCTTGAATGAGGCTTGTACTACATGGTGTAAGCTGCAACAAACCCCCACATTGGAGCAATTGGGAGATATTTTCACCAAATCGCTTACCCCCGGTAAGTTTGACCCACAATCCATTGGACTTCAACAATGTTTGGAGCCTTGCCATGAACTGGAACCGTCACAAGCTTAGTTTTGTCGGGGCCCTACCAAGTGGCGACCTTACAAACGACAAGACAGGAAGAGACCTTGTAGCTAAAACGCGTTTCCTAATCACTGCGCGCGATACCAGCGCTTGCGCGGATCATATAGTGGCCGCAATGTGTGCACTTGCGCAAATCACCATGGAAACCAGTTACGTAATAGTTTTGGTTCTTAAGGAACGAAAAGGTGTTTGCCTCGCGCTTGCGCGGACTCACCCACTGGCCTTAGGAGTTTTTACTTCTTACTTGGTGCTCTTCAAGCTCAAGCATCGCTCTGGCAGCGGCTGTCCTTTTACTGACTTTTGCAGCTACTGAGAGTTTTGCGTTTCACCATTTCTTTTTATCCACTTGCATGTGCAGTAATCTGCTGTGTTCTCCTTATTGGTAATTTTCGCCATCTTGCAATGCTGCCTACGCGGATCGGGCCGGGCGACCCGCATTGGCTGCAAAGTGGATCTTGTGGCATCAAATTACCAACGGGGGGACGTTTCGCACAGCATAGTATAGAGGGTGGCATTGTGACAGAGCATGTAGAGACAGAAACTCTGTCACTTGTCTTCCACCGAGGTGCCAACTACTGGCTAGCTCACCTAAGTGGTGACTGCAACATTTGAATTTACAAGTGCATTGCTAGCAGTGATTGCGAGACTTGCCAAACCTTTGGCTCAAGTCAACCAGTGTGCGCGGCTTGCTGATTCTGCATTTCGCGATTAGATAGTTTAGATAGTTTAGATAGATTAGATAGATTAGATAGATTAGATAGATTAGATAGATTAGATAGATTAGATAGATTAGATAGATTAGGTAGACTAGATAGATTAGGTAGATTAGATAGATTAGATAGATTAGATAGATTAGATAGATTAGATAGATTTGATTAGATAGATTAGATAGATATGATTAGATAGATTAGATAGATTAGATAGATTAGATAGGTCAGATAGATCAGATAGATTAGATAGATTAGACAGATTAGATAGATTAGATAGATTAGATAGATTAGATAGATTAGATAGATTAGATATATTAGATAGATTAGATAGATTAGATTAGATAGATTAGATAGATTAGATAGATTAGACGGATTAGATGGATTAGATGGATTAGATGGATTAGATGGATTAGATGGATTAGATGGATTAGATGGATTAGATAGATTAGATCGATTAGATCGATTAGATAGATGAGATAGATGAGATAGATGAGATAGATGAGATAGATGAGATAGATGAGATAGATGAGATAGATTAGATGGATTAGATATATTAGATAGATTAGATAAATTAGATAGATTAGATAGATTAGATAGATTAGATGGATTAGATGGATTAGATAGATTAGATAGACTAGATAGGTTGGATAGATTAGATAGATTAGATAGATTAGATAGATTAGATAGATGAGATAGATGAGATAGATGAGATAGATGAGATAGATGAGATAGATTAGATAGATTAGATAGATTAGATAGATTAGATGGATTAGATGGATTAGAGGGATTAGATGGATTAGATGGATTAGATGGATTAGATGGATTAGATAGATTAGATAGATTAGATAGATGAGATAGATGAGATAGATGAGATAGATTAGATAGATGAGATAGATTAGATAGATTAGATAGATTAGATGGATTAGATGGATTAGATGGATTAGATGGATTAGATAGGATTAGATAGGATAGATAGGATAGATAGGATAGATAGGATAGATAGGATAGATAGGATAGATAGGATAGATAGGATAGATAGGATAGATGGGATAGATCGGATAGATGGGATAGATGGGATAGATGAGATAGATGAGATAGATAGATAGATAGATAGATAGATAGATAGATAGATATAGATAGATAGATATAGATAGATAGATAGATAGACAGATAGATAGATAGACAGATAGATAGATAGCTAGCTAGATAGATAGATAGCTAGCTAGATAGATAGATAGATAGATAGATAGATAGATAGATGCATAGATAGATGCATAGATAGATGGATAGATAGATAGGTAGATATATATTTAGATAGATGGATTGATAGATAGGTAGGTAGATATTTAGATAGATAGGTAGATAGAGAGGTAAATAGATAGATAGGGAGCTAGATAGATAGGTAGATAGATAGGTAGATAGATAGGTAGATAGATAGGTAGATAGATAGATAGGTAGATAAATAGATAGATAGATTGATAGGTAGATTGATAGGTAGATAGATAATATAATACACATTACTGTGACGTTCATGCAGTAAACTAGTAAACATATTTTGTCCGTGAAAGACAAATTTTTCCATTGTTTTCTTCATTTTTGACGTCTACCCCATTCTCAACATGTCCCCATTTGCGGGTCATAGACAACACTGACAGCACCATTGGCTTTTCCCTCATCCGAACTTGCGCCAACGAGCATTGACGAACTCGTGGACTCTTCATTTCGTTATCAGCCACTTGGGCACTATCTTTGGCTTTGAGATGCTTTGAGCAATGGTACCGTGGCATCAAACTTTTGAAAAACCAACCGAAGATACTGAGACGAATCATAGCACCAACCTATCTCACAATTATACCTTTTTAAACTCAGATCTGAGGCCTTGTGTAACCTGGTCACATTCTGCGCCAAAAATTGGACCAGTAGGTCATGAGAAACTCTTTCTATTCTGCCATTTGCAGGGCTCGAGAGGCGTGAACAATTTCATTTGTTGCGCTATGGCGGGCGTTTTGAAGATCGCTCAGGATAGTGATTCTCCAGTCGTATCACCAGCAAAATCAGAAAGAAGTCTGACACCAAAGGTGCCAGCCGAACTTGTTCAAGGGGTTCCTTGTCGCTGCCTTTTGGTTGGTGGCGGTACACCTTTCCGCACATCTGGCAAAGTGGAGACAACCAGACATGTGAAGCGGTGCTCGGGCTATGACATTTTTGTTAGCCATGACTGGCAGACGTCCCGTTGGCTGAAATATGCTTCGTTGCTGGTACTTCTCAACTCCAGAGCAGCTGCTCTGGCTACACTAGTTGTGAGTCTTGCACTCGGTTTGGTGGTTGCATATCAGGTCTTGCCAAACTACAGCTTGTCAATGTCCATTGGCTACTTGACATTTGCCGTATTCTTCCTCTTTTGGCAACACATTCGGGACATTTTCTTGACACCAAAGCTGGCTTTCCTCGACAAGTTGTGCATCCCACAAGACGATGAAGAAGTCAAGGAGAAGTGCATCCTTGGCCTTGCAGGCTTCTTGAAGCGCTCTCGAAAGTTGGTGATTCTTTTCTCAGAATTGTACATAGGCCGACTTTGGTGCGCATATGAATTCACAGCCTTCATGAGAATGCATTCCAATCAGGGGCATGTGCAGACTGTACCGGTGGTGCTGCCGTTGCTCATTCTACTGCATGCAGCTTGGTGGTTCGCAGTCAAGATGTTAATATTCCTGATTTGGCATACCTCTCAGACAAGCCAGATGATGAAAGTAGTGCTGAGTACTATTGGCGGCCTTGCTGTGATGTTCTTGATCACATATCCTTTGCAGGCTTGGGTTGGGAGGCGGTTGACGAAGAATTTGCAAAGCCTCTCCCGGCAACTGCGAGAATTTGATATCCATGAAAGCAAGTGCTCTTGCTGCTCTGCTGGCCATGAGACACCAAGTGGAGAGAGAATCCCATGTGACAGGGATCTCATCTATCAAAGCCTGGCTGACTGGCATGGAAATGATGCTGCCGATTTGCAAGAAAGGCTTGAGGGTTTCAACAAAGCTGTCCGAACCCAATTTGCTGATCGGATTTTGGCAACCTGCGGAGAGCAATCCATGTCCATAAGACTGCTCATCTACACAGTCTTCAGCATGAACACTCCATTCTTGATCATCAGGATTCCAGATGCCATTGGGCAAGCACAGCAGCAGCCGTCCGCATTTCTTGCCTGTGTGGTTGCACTGAGAAATTTGGTTGGCAGTTGGGGGCACATTTGGCCATCGATGCTTGTCTACCTCTGGGCATGCAAGACTATGTGGGCACTAACCCTGCGGTACAATCAATGGCCTATCTTGATTGAAACAGGTGCGGCTGTGTTTGTCCTTCTTTCCTGGGGCATCGTGTCTGGAGTCTGTGTTTTTTCGGTGCTTTTGACGCACCGCCATAGTTGGGCTCCGCTACTTGTATTTGTCGTGGTCATGGCTCTTGGCCTTTATCTGCTGCGGGTCTGCACCCTCCCGGTGAAGGCATGTCGAAAAAACACTGTTGACAAAGCTTCGACAGAATGTGGAGAGTGTGTTCAGGTTATCAGGGATGACATGTCGAGCTTTTCCATTTGAGCATTTTTCACTGGACGATATTCACAAAGCCTCAAAAAAGACAAGATGGGCTTGACGCATTCTTGTCTGACATGCTGTTGGAGGTTGCCTCTCATTATTTGCATGCTCAGAGAAGCCAGGCGCGCAGATTGGGCAAAGGCTGATCCAAGTTTTATTTTGCGAAAAAGTCAGTCGTGCACTGCTGCGAATTGCAAGAGGGGATCGAAAAGTTTGCGCTGTGAGGCTGTGAGAACCCATGAGATGCTCATAATTCTGGCCCCACATGGCCCCACACTAGGCCTATAGGCATGTAAAGACATGTAAAAACCAAAGGGAGGAGAGGGACTGAGGGACTCGTTTTTACATTTTTTACCTATTCTTGCTCTGCTGTCTCTGATTTTGCGATGTCGGAGATGCCACTAAGGTTTGTACAAGCTGAGCAGCTGGCTGGGGATGGAACTCATGGAGCCCACCCTGCCGGAACAGATGTCGCTGGGCTAACGGGGCTGAAAGGCATGGAGGTTGATAGCTCGGATGTCACTGATATGCTGCTGCTTTGCTTGTTTCTGAAGTGAAGTAGAGTAGAGTAGTTTGTTGGACATTTTGGGACTATCTTATTTTTTCATTCTTGTTCTCTTTTGGCCACGTCTTACGAAGTTTTGTCAGGGAAAGCCTCAAAATATTGCACCGTGGGCGGAAAGCGTGGCTAGTTCTGTCGGTGCGCTGTCTGCGCCGTCTTGCGCCGTCCTGCGCCGTCTTGCGCCGTCTGCGCCGTCTTGCACTGTCTGTGTCGTGTGCCGGTTGCGCCGTCTTGCCGCATGCGCTGTCTGCGTCGTCGTGCGCAGTCTGCGCCGTCTGGCGCCATCTTGCCTTGTGCAGTGCTCACGCCGTATGGGTCGTTTTGCGCCATCTTGGGCTGTTTGCACCGTCTGCGCCGGCTGCAGAGGTTGCTAGAAATATGTGGTGCGAGAGGGTGCGAGACGGTGCGAGACGGTGCGGATGGTGGGGATGGTGCGCGCAGCGAAACAACCGTGCTATGCGACCGCAATGAAATATTCACGTCGCTTCGCGACGGCAACCGCCCGCACCGCATTGTTGGGCAGCCGCTCGTAACTGCCAATGATGTCGGCCATTGAGACCAAAAACATCCGAAAGTACTGATTGTCGGAAAAAAACGCGAAGAATTTGATAGCCATGTATAGCGGACCAACGCAGTTCAAAAAATAACGAAAAACATGAAAAAACGGCGAAATTGCTGTTATTTACAGTGTTTTTGCGCGGTGAGAAGCAGAAACCACTGCAAATACCATGGTTTTTGAGGGTCAGGTGGCCAAAAACACTGTAATTTACAGTGTTTTTTTAACCAACGTCAAAAAACACTGGTATTTACGATGTTTTCATTCACACCGTAACATAAAACAGTGTAATTTACGAGGTTTTTGGAAGTTTTGAAGCTAGCCGTCAAGCATGCAGAAAACAGAAAAACACTGTAAAAACCAGTGTTTCTGCTATCACAAAACGACGAAAATCAGTCCGAAAACGGGTCCAAAAACTCAAAAATCCGCCTCCGGGCCCGGCCACCTGCGGAACCGCAAAAAAAGATGTTGCAAACCAAAAAATTGAGGTCAAAAAGTTGAAAAACACGGGTTTTTTTCACTTTTCGCTTGCCGATTTTGGACGGGCGCGTTCACGAACAGGTGTCTTCCGTACTGTTTTTTACAGTGTTTTTTGAAGGCGAGCGTCACGACCTATCAAAAACAGGAGGTTTTGGCCGAAAAATGCCCCCCCCCCCCCAGGTAAACCTGTAACCTTTTACGAGTGCCATCCGGAAGATCACGCCCCAGCACCTTCGGTGCGGGCGGATTTCTTAAGGCCTTCCCTGGCTGGCAACACTTCGAAACAAGAAGGGACTGGAATGTTTGGGAAAAACCAATGTTCCTGGATGTTGACATCACTGTGTCAGAGATTTGCACACTTTTGCATGTAGCTGGTTTGTTCCCCACCACCACAACAGTGGACAACAGCGTGTCAGGAACTTGTTCGATCAATGGCCTAATAGCAGCCCTTGCCGTGGTTTGAACATCCATGTCATCAATTGCCATTCAGGGATATTCAGGGATATTCAGGGTAGATGGACCAAGAATCATCCGAGGGTAAGAGCGTTTCGCGAAGCAGCCAACGATGCTTTGGTCGTGGCGGAGCTCCCAGGCTGGCATGAGATGAAACCTTTTTTCGGAACATGACAAGACTTTGGATGTGTTGCCAAGTGTTGCCAAGTGTTGCTTGTGGAGGCATTGCATGGGAGGAGATCGCTCCTCCCGCCGATGCCGAAGATGGTTGTTTCAAGCAAATCCCACACACCTGGCGGGACATTACTGCGAAGTCCTCACAAAACGCGCTCCCAGCGTCGAATCCAAGGCCAGGGAGCTGCTTTGGTTTTGATCATTTTTGATCCATATTTCTTGGATTTTCTTGCTGCATGTTGCTGCAGTTGTATGCAGATTCTGTAGCCAGGAATGAGAAGATTGAGATGATCATTGCGGAGACGATCTGAGATGAGTAGGCATATGCAGGAATAGGGTGCAGTATAGGCTGCTTGGATTAGTTGCACAGAAATTGGAAATGCATTAGCCGCTCGCAAACTGTTTGTGCAGCGGGCGTGCCCCAAATTAGCCGACTGTGCGTCGTGCTTTCTGGGGAGCAAGGGAAAAGTCTTGCCGGCGCCATGGGTTGGCGCATGCAGGGGCCATGGAAGGGGAAGACCAGAAGAGGTCTTGCCTCCTTCATTTAAAGTCGTGTTCAATACAACCAACAACGCAGCTTAGGGATGAAAGGTGAAGGTCAGGGATGAAAATTGCATACTGATGAATGATGGTGGGTTATTCGGCGGAAAATCGGGAAAATAGGTGGTAAAAATGGCCGGCCACTAGTATGGTTTTGCAGGGTAATGTACCAGGCGGCAAAACAGTGACGGTGGGTATCGATTCCCCCTAGGTCCGGTTTTCTGGGGGTTTCTGGGCTCAGTCAATGGACAGATAGATGGGCCAGCTAGTTAGAGGAGATTGGAGAGAGAAGGACATTGGGTGAAAAGTATGTGCAAGAAGGGTTTCTGGGTGAAGAGTCCCTGGGTGAAAAGTATATGGGTGAAAAGTCTGTGCAAGAAGAGTTTCTGGGTGAAGAGTCTCTGGGTGAAAAGTATGTGCAAGAAGAGTTTCTGGGTGAAGAGTCTCTGGGTGAAAAGTATATGGGTGAAAAGTATGTGCAAGAAGAGTTTTTGGGTGAAGAGTCTCTGGGTGAAAAGTATATGAGTGAAAAGTATGTGCAAGAAGAGTTTCTGGGTGAAGAGTCTCTGGGTGAAAAGTCTCTGCAAGAAGAGTTTCTGGGTGAAGAGTCTCTGGGTGAAAAGTATATGGGTGAAAAGCATGTGCAAGAAGAGTTTCTGGGTGAAGAGTCTCTGGGTGAAAAATCTGTGCAAAAAGAGTTCCTGGGTGAAGAGTCTCTGGGTGAAAAGTATATGGGTGAAAAGTATGTGCAAGAAGAGTTTCTGGGTGAAGAGTTTGGTGAAAAGTATATGAAAGAAGAGTTTCTGGGTGAAAAGTAGGTGGAAGAAGAGTTTCTGGGTAAAGAGTCTGGGTGAAAAGATGGGTGAACAGTATGTGCAAGAAGAGTTTCTGGGTGAAGAGTTTCTGGGTGAAAAGTATGTGCAAGAAAGTTTCTGGGTGAAGAGTCTCTGGGTGAAAAGTATATGAGTGAAAAGTATGTGCCAGAAGAGTTTCTGGGTGAAGAGTCTCTGGGTGAAAAGTATATGGGTGAAAAGTATGTGCAAGAAGAGTTTCTTGGTGAAGAGTCTCGGGGTGAAAAGAATATGGGTGAAAAGTATGTGCAAGAAGAGTTTCTGGGTAAAGAGTCGCTGGGTGAAGAGTCTGTGCAAGAAGAGTTTCTGGGTGAAGAGTCTCTGGGTGAAAACTATGTACGAGGAGAGTTTCTGGATGAAGAGTTTCTGGATGAAAAGTATCGGGTGAAAAGTATATGGGTGAAAAGTATGGGCAGGAAGAGTTTCTGGGTGAAGAGTCTCTGGGTGAAAAGTATTTTATGGATGAAACATATGTGCAAGAAGAGTTTCTGGGTGAAGAGACTCGGGGTGAAAAGTATATGGGTGAAAAGTATGTGCAAGAAGAGTTTCTGGATGAAGAGTCTTTGGGTGAAAAGTATATTGGTGAAAAGTATGTGCAAGAAGAGTCTGTGGGTGAAGAGTCTCTGGGTGAAAAGTATATGGGTGAAAAGTATGTTCAAGAAGAGTCTCTGGTTGAAAAGTATATGGCTGAAAAGTATGTGCAAGAAGGGTTTCTGGGTGAAGAGTCTCTGGGTGAAAAGTATATGGGTGAAATGTCTGTGCAAGAAGAGTTTCTGGGTGAAGAGTCTCTGTGTGAAGAGTATATGGGTGAAATGTCTGTGCAAGAAGAGTTCCTGGGTGAAGAGTCTGGGTGAAAAGATGGGTGAACAGTATGTGCAAGAAGAGTTTCTGGGTGAAGAGTCTGCGGGTGAAAAGTTTATGGGTGAAAAGTATGTGCAAGAAGACTTTCTGGGTGAAGAGTCTCTGGGTGAAAAGTATATTGGTGAAAAGTATGTGCAAGAATGAAGAGTTTCTGGGTGAAAAGTCTCTGGGTGAAAAGTATATGGTTGAAAAGTATGTGCAAGAAGAGTCTCTCGGTGAAAAGTATATGGGTGAAATGTTTGTGCAAGAAGAGTTTCTGGTGGAAGAGTCTCTGGGTGAAGAGTATATAGGATGAAATGTCTCTGCAAGAAGAGTTCCTGGGTGAAGAGTCTCTGGGTGAAAAGTATATGGGTGAAAAATATGTGCAAGAAGAGTTTCTGGGTGAAGAGTCTCTGGGTGAAAAGTATATGAATGAAAAGTCTGTGCAAGAAGAGTTTCTGGATGAAGAATCTCTGGATGAAAAGTATCTGGGTGAAACGTATATTGGTGAAAAGTATGTGAAAGAAGAGTTTCTGGGTGAAAAGTATGTGCAAGAAGAGTTTCTGGGTGAAGAGTCTGGGTGAAAAGTATATGGGTGAACAGTATGTGCAAGACGAGTTTCTGGGTGAAGAGTCTCTGGGTGAAACGTATATGGGTGAAAAGTATGTGCAAGAAGAGTTTCTTGGTGAAGAGTCTATGGGTGAAAAGTATTTGCAAGAAGAGTTTCTTGGTGAAGAGTCTGGGTCAAAAGTATATGGGTGAAAAATATGTGCACGAAGAGTTTCTGGGTGAAGAGTCTCTGGGTGAAAAGTATATTGGTGAAAAGTATGTGCAAGAAGAGTTTCTGGGTGAAGAGTCTCTGGGTGAAAAGTATATGGTTGAAAAGTCTGTGCAAGAAGAGTTTCTGGGTGAAGAGTCTCTGGGTGAAAAGTATATGGGTGAAAAGTATGTGCAAGAAGAGTTTCTGGATGAAGAGTCTCTGGATGAAAAGTATCTGGGTGAAAAGTATGTGCAAGAAGAGTTTCTGCGGGAAGAGTCTCTGGGTGAAGAGTATATAGGATGAAATGTCTCTGCAAGAAGAGTTCCTGGGTGAAGAGTCTCTGGGTGAAAAGTATATGGGTGAAAAATATGTGCAAGAAGAGTTTCTGGGTGAAGAGCCTCTGGGTGAAAAGTATATTGGTGAAAAGTATGTGCAAGAAGAGTTTCTGGGTGAAGAGTCTGGGTGAAAAGTATATGGGTGAACAGTACGTGCAAGAAGAGTTTCTGGGTGAAGAATTTCTGGGTGCAAAGTCTGTGCACGAAGAGTTTCTGGGTGAAGAGTCTCTGGGTGAATAGTATATCGGTAAAAAGTATGTGCAAGAAAAGTTTCTGGGTGAAGAGTCTCTGGGTGAAAAGTGTTTGGGTGAAAAGTATTTGCAAGAAGAGTTTCTGGGTGAAGAGTCTGGGTGAAAAGTATATGGGTGAAAAATTGGTGCAAGAAGAGTTTCTGGGTGAAGAGTCTCTGGGTGAAAAGTATATTGGTGAAAAGTATGTGCAAGAAGAGTTTCTGGGTGAAGCGTCTCTGGGTGAAAAGTATATGGTTGAAAAGTCTGTGCAAGAAGAGTTTCTGGGTGAAGAGTCTCTGGGTGAAAAGTATATGGGTGAAAAGTATGTGCAAGAAGAGTTTCTGGGTGAAGAGTTTATGGGTGAAAAGTATATGGTTGAAAAGCATGTGCAAGAAGAGTAAAAGTATGTGCAAGAAGAAATTCTGGGTGAAGAGTCTCTGGCTGAAAAGTATATGGGTGAAAAGTATGTGCAAGAAGAGTTTTTGGGTGAAGAGTCTCTAGACCCTAGATGAAAAATATGGGTGAAAAGCATGTGCAAGAAGAGTTTCTAGGTAAAGAGTCTCTGGGTGAAAGGAGTATTGGTGAAAAGTATGTGCAAGAAGAGTTTCTGGGTGAAGAATCTCTGGGTAAGAAGTATATGGATGAAAAGTATGTGCAAGAAGAGTTTCTGGGTGAAAAGTATATGGGTGAAAAGTATATGCAAGAAAAGTCTCTGGGTGAAGAGTCTCTGGGTGAAAAGTATGTGGGTGTGAAAAGTATGTGAAAGAAGAGTTTCTGGGTGAAAAGTATTTGCAAGACGAGTTTCTGGGTGAAGAGTCTGGGTGAAAAGTATATGAGGGAACAGTATGTGCAAGAAGAGTTTCTGGTTGAAGAGTTTCTGGGTGAAAAGTATGTGCAAGAAGGGTTTCTGGGTGAAGAGTCTCTGGGTGAAAAGTATATGGGTGAAAAGTATGTGCAAGAAGAGTTTCTGGGTGAAGAGTCTATGGGTGAAAATTAGGGGTGAAAAGTATTTGTAAGAAGAGTTTCTGGGTGAAGAGTCTCTGGGTGAAAAGTATATTGGTGAAAAGTATGTGCAAGAAGAGTTTCTGGGTGAAAAGTATGTGCAAGAAGAGTTTCTGGGTGAAGAGTTTGGGTGACAAGTATATGGGTGAACAGTATGTGCAAGAAGAGTTTCTGGGTGAAGAGTTTCTGGGTGAAAAGTATGTGCAAGAAGGGTTTCTGGGTGAAGAGTCTCTGGGTGAAACGTATATGGGTGAAAAGTATGTGCAAGAAGAGTTTCTTGGTGAAGAGTCTATGGGTGAAAATATGTGGGTGCAAAGTATTTGTAAGGAGAGTATCTGGGTGAAGAGTCTCTGGGTGAAAAGTATATGGGTGAAAATATGTGCAAGAAGAGTTTCTGGGTGAAAAGTCTGTGCAATAAGAGTTTCTGGGTGAAGAGTCTCTGGGTGAAAAGTATATGGGTGAAAAGTATGTGCAAGAAGTTTCTCTGGGTGAAAAGTATATGGGTGAAAAGTATGTGCAAGAAGAAGAGTCTCTGGGTGAAAAGTATATGGGTGAAAAGTATGTGCAAGAAGGGTTTCTGGGTGAAGAGTCTTTGGGTGAAAAGTATTGGGGAACATAGGGATAGATGGGATGCTGGCTTTCGTTCCCCCCTTCTCAGGTTTTTTTTAAGAACGAAGCGAAGACATTCGGTCCATTTAGTCCTTTAAACCTTTTAACCTCTATAGTAGCATCGAGACTGTGCAGCAGCCTCACTTTTCACTGCTAAGGTCCTGCTGGAGACACGTGTCAGGCTCTCCCATCGCGCTGGTGGCTTGGCCTTCTGCGCGAGTCTCAATGGCCGCGGTTGATCATTGGCCGATCAATTTTCAATGGGTCCAATTAGCGATGGGTTCACTCTGGTTCACCAATTCACCAGTTGTTTCGAATGCGTTCTGAGAAATCACAAACCGACTTAGTCACTTGGTCCCAAATGTTCAGGGATCACAAGTTTGCATTTGACGGCATCCTTAACTTGATGACGCTTGTAATTGGGATTGTCGCACTCTCGGTCCAAGACTCTCTCAGAAGAACCTCACAGGGTTCAGAATGACTCCAAAATGGTCCAAGAATACCTGGCCTAGTCTCCGTTTCCCAGGGCACATCGCTCTCCACAGTGGAAGGTGCTTCATTTTGCTTTTCCATCCTGCTTAGCAGAAATGCTCGCACCTAGCGCCATGTCCAGCTCTCGATGGGCTCGGAAAAAAGGCAGGACAAATGAGAGTGAAAAATTGCTCACACTGGTGCGCACAAAAGTTTGTGATAGTTTGTGTATATTTCCAGTGATGTCACATCTGTCAGTTGTAACTCAAGTTGGAGGGATTGGAGGGAAGCAGATTTGTCTGTCCACCATGTGCCAGGTTCCTTGCAGAACGCACCTCAAAAGTTGCCGCACTTGCTCGGGCAACGCGATGGCAGCAGGCCTTTTTTCTGGCATTGGTGGAAACTCCGGCCCCTCAGCAAGCACTAAGCAGCAGTGCCCGAAGCTGAGACAGATGAATCCTCGATGTTACTCGAATCTAAATGGAGATCTGAGATTTACTGAGATACTGTATCACCCGATCACCCGAGCACATCCGAGAACAAAATAGAACAAATGTGAAGCCTCATGGGAAGCCTTAAATGATTTACCATGGTTTCCCGGTCCCGAAGGGTTCACCACTTCAACGATGCTCAGGTCGAGCTCCAGGACCTCCGGTTGCGCAATGCCGCGCTGGCGGCGCTAGGGCGTGGCCTGCGCTGGGCGGAGGCTTTGGCGCTGCTACAGCCGCAGCCCGCGGCGAGCAGTGACTTGGTGCCATTTGGTGCCTGTGTGGGACTGGTGGGTCAAGCGATTTCGGGGGAGAATGCCTTAGTGAAAACATGTGAAAACAGTCACCTGTGCTTTTGCTGTATCATCTCTTTAATGCGGTTATTATGTTGGAATGTGCTGGAGCCTTGAGATGATCGATCTGCTGATGTTTTTCGCAAAGAGTCAGCTACCGAGGTGTCAACGCTGTACTTGGAGCATGTGACAGGGCGCAGCGCTGGAGCACCGCCCTGCAGCTGTGGAAGGCATGGGCACCTCACGGCAAAGTCATAAAACATGTCCTTTCACGGCGTTGGGAAGCTGGTACTTGTAGGAACTAGCAACTAGCAAGGCAACTAGTTCAACCTAGTTCAACATCCCCTCTCAAAAGGACTTGAGACATTTTTGGAACCGTTTGCCACGATTCGCCACGCGGCAGGTTGCATCATCACCAGACGTAATTACGTACAACACAGCGATCGCTGCATGCTGTGGGTGTCCACCGGCAGTAGCCGCTGATGCTCGGATGATCAGTTACTAACAGTTGGGTCGGCTGAGGGGGTGTTCTTAACAGGCAACGGTTGTGAGATGCTTTGAACATGTCATCAGAAGATATCAGAAGGTACGGTAGATCAAAACAGGAACCACTGAGGACCGGATCAGTTGCACCCTCTCCAGCTATGTCTCCTGCAGTTTTTGGCTCAGCAGCATACGTTGGGTGCGGGATGAGCCGTGTGCTGACTTTGCTGGACCAAGCGCAAGATTCCTAAGCGCCCTTCTAAGCTCCAAGCCTCTATGGAAACAGCCTACGCGGCCTACGTTTCCAGCTCTGCTGGTCAAGCAGCTGCAGCGCGAAGCTCGGCAGCACCATACCGATGTTGCAGGAAGCTAAGAGAAACATGAGACTGCCTTAAGCCCCAGGAGATTTCAAACCAATTCATTGTGAGCATCTTCTATACCCTGCTTGGGAAATGTTCAATTTTTTGAGCTTGGACTCGCCATTTCGTAGATTGGTTGGGGCTGAGATTATGCAAATACATGAAAACATGCTTCATTGACCTTAAGATGAGGAATCAATCATCCAACATTGCTTTTTGGTCCGGAGTGCTGATGCCTTGGAGATCCTTGGAGGATCTTGGAGGCCTAAGCATGCCAGGATATGTCAGGGCTGCACTTGGCATGTTCGAGGGCCCTTAGAAACTGTAAGAGCGCTCTCCCCCGGAGTCTGGAGCGGTTCCGCCGTTCAGCCGTAAGCACGTCAGTCTTTGGTTTGTTCTTTTGGGTCTAGTTTGTGGGGGGCTAAACGTCACCGCCAACACCGAATGGGGATTTTCAACAAAATTTTCCAATGCAATTTTTTCGACGTTTCAGTTCCCATTCCTCAGGAAGCCGTGAGTACTGGCAAGCTCTGCTGCAAGATTGGGCCAGGGATCCACTCACGAAGGATCTGCTGGAGGCGCGCCATTCATTGGAACGTGTGTCTTGCTGCTGAGATTTCGGTTTATCAGGGTTGGTAAAAGGGTTAGAAATTATAGCAGGGAATGGCAGAGTGCAAAAACGTGCTAGAACAGATCCGAGGATTCCAAGTGGGAATTGCAAGGTATATACTTAGTCATGGCATATTTCACCATATTTCACCATATTTCAACTGGTCATCAGATGTCACCTGATTTGTGACTTTGTACGCAGCGCGGGTTTGCCTGAGAAGCGTTCTCAGGGCATTCGCGGCAAGCAGGGAAGCACCTCCGGTCAGCCGGATGGCCCAGGAGGAAGCCATGAATTGGATAGCGATGGATTTGAATGAAATCATGCAATGGATGAATGATTGAATGATAATGAATGAGGAATAGAATAGATAAACAAATGATAAACATGTTGCTCTTTATTGCGGTTTATTGCTGTTCGATGGAGTTTGCTTGGCTCCCAGTGGCGCTGGCCCACCCTGAGGCGATTTTTTTCGTGTTTGTACGGCTTTCACCGCTGTGTAACGTGACGCCAGCAGAAACGTAGCGGGCAGACAATCCTGCAGCTGATGCTGACGGCAGGCTGGCCGCATTGCAGAAGCTAGGTAGGTAGTGCAACTACTAGTCAAACCGGTTTTATGTGTTTCGCTTGAGTTGCCATTCCCATCATGGTTACTTGTAGGGTCAGTCCGCTTGTCGTTCTTTGTTTGCAGTTTTCACCAGACCCATTTCTAGCTACAGCTGCAAGCCCAAGAACAGGCATTGGCATGGTAGTTTTCACCAGGTGCGTCACGCTCTTGCCCTTTGTATGTGGAACACCTCAATAGCTTCTGAGATGTTATCATTTTGCAGATCCACACTTGCCAACCTGGAAAACCATGGGAAACTACTGATTGTAGTGACCCAACGCCCATCTCAATCGCCCAGCCTTGCGTCGGTGGTGGACCTTCTTGGCTTCAGGCCATGGAAGAAGTTCGACAGCTGTGCCTTGCAGAGCCCTGGGCGAACCCGGTGAAACCTGCCAGCCCAAGCAGCGAACCAAGCAGCGAATTTCAGGAAGGCCTTCGGAGCTTCGGAGCCGCCTCCAGCAGGTCACCGGCAGCGGCAACATTTGATGACTCCAGACATGATGTTTGGGGTCAATATCATGCCCAGACTGATTTTCTTTTCCCGAAATGGTCTTGTGATAAGAATTGTAGACTTTGGCGTGCTTGCAGTTGATGCAGCAGTGATGTGTTTGGCCTTGCGCTGTGTGCGACATGGTGAAACGATGTGAAACGCATTGAAATGCCATGTGTGCCACGGTACTTTCGCAATGCATTGCAGGGACTAGCGCTGGACATGCGAGAGGCTGGAACAACTCCGAGCAAGCCGCGAAATCCCGGGAGGGGCTCCTTGGACAACTTTGGCGTGTCACCTTCACAGACTTTGAGTAGTTCTATTTATTTATTTATATATTTTTTCCATTTTTTATTTATCTATTCATTCATGTATCTGTTTATTCATTTATTTTTTTTTCCTTTTTTTGTTTATCTATTCATTCATGTATCTGTTTATTCATTTATTTTTTTTTCCTTTTTTTGTTTATCTATTCATTCATGTATCTGTTTATTCATTTATTTATTTATTTATTTTCTATTTTTTATTTATCTATTCATTCATGTATCTGTTCATTTATTTATTTTATTTATTTTTTTATTCTTTATTTATCTATCTATTCATTCATGTATCTGTTTATTCATTTATTTTTTTTTCCTTTTTTTGTTTATCTATTCATTCATGTATCTGTTTATTCATTTATTTATTTATTTATTTTCTATTTTTTATTTATCTATTCATTCATGTATCTGTTCATTTATTTATTTTATTTATTTTTTCTATTCTTTATTTATCTATCTATTCATTCATGTATCTGTTTATTCATTTATTTATTTATATATTTTTTCTATTTTTTATTTATCTATTCATTCATGTATCTGTTTATTCATTTATTTTTTTTCCTTTTTTTTGTTTATCTATTCATTCATGTATCTGTTTATTCATTTATTTATTTATTTATTTTCTTTTTTTTATTTATCTATTCATTCATGTATCTGTTCATTTATTTATTCATTTATGTATTTATTTTTTCTATTTTTTATTTATCTATTCATTCATGTATCTGTTTATTTATTTATTCATTTATTTATTTATTTATATATTTTTTCTATTTTTTATTTATCTATTCATTCATGTATCTGTTTATTCATTTATTTTTTTTCTATTTTTTATTTATCTATTCATTCATGTATCTGTTTATTCATTTATTTATTTATTTTTCTATTTTTTATTTATCTATTCATTCAGGTATCTGTTCATTTATTTATTCATTTATGTATTTATTTTTTCTATTTTTTATTTATCTATTCATTCATGTATCTGTTTATTTATCTATTCATTTATTCATTTATTTATTTATATTTTTTTTTTCTTTTTTTTAAATCTATTCATTCATGTATCTGTTTATTCATTTATTTATTTATTTATTTTTTCTATTTTTTATTTATCTATTCATTCATGTATCTGTTTATTCATTTATTTTTTCTATTTTTTTATTTATCTATTCATTCATGTATCTGTTTATTCATTTATTTATTTATATATTTTTTCTATTTTTTATTTATCTATTCATTCATGTATCTGTTTATTCATTTATTTATTTATATATTTTTTCTATTTTTTATTTATCTATTCATTCATGTATCTGTTTATTCATTTATTTATTTTTTTCTATTTTTTATTTATCTTTTCATTCATGTATCTGTTTATTCATTCATTTTTTTTATATTTTTATTTTTTATTTTTTCTATTTTTTTTAAATCTATTCATTCATGTATCTGTTTATTCATTTATTGTTTTTTCCTATTTTTTTTATCTATTCATTCATGTATCTGTTTATTCATTTATTTATTTATTTATTTTTTCTATTTTTTATTTATCTATTCATTCATGTATCTGTTTATTTATTTATTCATTTATGTATTTATTTTTTCTATTTTTCATTTATCTATTCATTCATGTATCTGTTTATTTATCTATTCATTTATTCATTTATTTGTTTATTTATTTATTTATATATTTTTTCTATTTTTTATTTATCTATTCATTCATGTATCTGTTTATTCATTTATTTATTTATATATTTTTTCTATTTTTTTATTTATCTATTCATTCATGTATCTGTTTATTCATTTATTTTTTTTTCCTATTTTTTGTTTATCTATTCATTCATGTATCTGTTTATTCATTTATTTATTTATTTATTTTCTATTTTTTATTTATCTATTAATTCATGTATCTGTTCATTTATTTATTCATTTATGTATTTATTTTTTCTATTTTTTATTTATCTATTCATTCATGTATCTGTTTATTCATTTATTTATTTATTTATTTATCTATTCTTGTTATTTACTGATATATATATATATATGTGTGTGTTCCGCTTATTTTTTTAAAAATATTTTGCATCAATTCACAGTGTAATTCCATGTAATTTCAGCATTTGCTATACGGAATGCAATACGCTACGCCGCTACATTCTACGCCAAAATCTGGACCAGCAGGTCATGAGATGTGATGAATAATGATCGACTTGCATCCTGTAAAGCTCTTTCTATTCTGCCATTTGCAGGGCTCAAGAGGCGTCGATGACTTTGACGGTTGCGCTATGGCGGGCGTTTTCAAAATCGCTCAGGATAGTGATTCTCCAGTCGTCTCACCAGCAAGATCAGAAAGAAGTCTGACACCAAAGGTGCCAGCCGAACTTGTTCAAGGGGTTCCTTGTCGCTGCCTTTTGGTTGGTGGCGGTAGGCCTTTCCGCACATCTGACAAAGTGGAGTCGACTAGACATTTGACGCGGTGCTCTAGCTACGACATTTTTGTTAGCCATGACTAGCAGACGTCCCGTTGGCTGAAATATGCTTCGTTGCTGGTACTTCTCAACTCCAGAGCAGCTGCTCTGGCTACACTAGTTGTGAGTCTTGCACTCGGTTTGTTGGTTGCCTATGAGGCCTTGCCAAACTACAGCTGGTCGGTGTCGATTGGCTACTTGACATTTGCCGTATTCTTCTTCTTTTGGCAACACATTCGGGACATTTTCTTGACACCAAAGCTGGCTTTCCTCGACAAGTTGTGCATCCCACAAGACAATGAAGAAGTCAAGGAGAAGTGCATCCTTGGCCTTGCAGGCTTCTTGAAGCACTCTCAAGAGTTGGTGATTCTCTTTTCAGAATCGTACATTGGCCGGCTTTGGTGCATATACGAAATCACTGCTTTTATGAGAACGCATTCCAATCAGGGGCATGTGCAGACTGTACCCGTGGTGCTGCCTTTGCTCATCCTCCTGCATGCGGCTTGGTGGCTCGCAGTCAGGCTTCTCATCCTCCTCATTTGGGAGACCTCTCAGACAAGCTCTACAATGGACGTACTAGCAGTTATTCTTATCGGCCTTGCTGTGACGTTCTTGAGTACATATCCTTTGCAGGCTTGGGTTGGGAGGCGGTTGACAAAGAATTTGCAAAGCCTCTCCCGGCAACTGCGAGAATTTGATATCCATGAAAGCAAGTGTTCTTGCTGCTCTGCTGGCCATGAGACGCCAAGTGGAGAGAGAATCCCATGTGACCGGGATCTCATTTATCAAAGCCTTGCTGACTGGTATGGAAATGATGCTGATGATCTGCAAGGAAGGCTTGAGAGTTTCAACAAAGCTGTCCGAACCCAATTTGCTGATCGGATTTTGACAAGCTGGGAAGAGCAATCCATGCCCATCAAGCTCTTCATCTACATTGTCTTTAGCATGAACACTCCATCCTTGATCATCAGGATTCCAGATGCTATTGGGCAAGCCCAGCAGCAGCCTTCTGCATTTCTTGCTTGCGTCGTTGCAATGAAAGTTTTGATTTTGCGTTTGGGATATATGTGGGCAGCGATGCTTTTCTACCTCTGGGCATGCAAGACTATGTGGGCACTCACCCTGCAGTGCAATCAATGGCCGATTTCTTTTGTGATCGAAGCAGGTGCGGCTGTTTTTGTCCTTCTTTCTTGGGGCATCGTGTCTGCAGTCTGTGTTTGTTCGGTGCTTTTGACGCACCGCCACAGTTGGCCTCCGCTGCTTGGATTTGTCGTGGTCATGGCTCTTGGCCTTTATCTGCTGCGGGTCTGCACCCTCCCGGTGAAGGCATGTCGAAAAAACACTGTTGACAAATCTTCGACAGAATGTGGAGAGTGTGTTCAGGTTATCAGGGATGACATGTCGAGCTTTTCCATTTGAGCAGTTTTCACTGGATGATATTCAATACCAACTTCAGCCCCTTCTTGCATGCATTCTTGCCTGACGCTCCGGTTCTCACTCAAGCGAATCGCTAGATAACGCTAGATAGCTACGTAGCACTAAGTACTTGTAGCAGTGTAGCAGCTATACCACTATACCGGCATGAATCAGGCTGGGCTGTGAAACTCACGGTCCACACTTGCATGCCCAGACCGTGCGAAGATAGATTTGTGGGAAAAAGTCAGCTGTGCACGAGTAAATATGAGTCCATGAGACTGTTGCCCTGCACTCCACATGAGACGGAGAGAGAGAGAGAGAGAGAGAGAGAGAGAGAACACATGATGGACTGGTTTTTGCATGTTCTTGCCACTCTGCTGACTCTCTTCTTGTTCTTTGTCAATGGGCCGCCTGCCTTGCGATGTCACTCTGGAGATGCCTGGGCTAAGGTTCGCACATGCTGCGCTGGCTGGGGATGAAACTCATGGAATCCGCCCTGCCGGAACAGGCTCCCGGGCTAGTTGATCAGTCAAGGGGGTGGGCTTCAGTGAAACATGTGAAACTATGTCATTGTTGTCATTGTTTCTGAAGTGAAGTAACGGATTTTGGGGACATTTTGGGACAACCTTTTGCATTCTTCATGATCTTTCGCGCAATGACCTCGGCCAAGCATCGAGCTGAAGGAACTGGATTTTGGAAGGTTTTGGGACGACCAAACAGCTTTGCACGTTTTTGCATGTAGCTACTTGCATTCGCTGCCTGCCATGCATTGCAATCCAGTATGCTGTGTTGAATTCGTCGGGGGTAAGCGCATTTCGCGAAGCAGCCAAAGATGCGCTTGTCGTAGGGGAGCTGCCAACGCTTTCCAGTCGACCAAACTTTTATTTTGTGCACTGGTGTGTGCTTGTGCATGTACATGTAGTGTAGGCATGTGTAGGCCACGTCTCACAGAACAAGCATTGGGTTAGAGGAGATCGCTATCCAGCATCCTCGAGCCGATGCTAAAGTTGGTTGCTTCAAGCAAGTCCGACACACAACTGGCGACTATTGAGGGGACACGGCAGAAATAGCATGAAAATGCATGAAATAGCAATGGTCACATGTAAGCCTGGAGAAGTGTGCTGGATTTTCTTTGAACATGCAGAGTGTTGTTTTGCGTAACCTGTGCACAATGACGGTGACTCTCAATGACCTGTTAGTCATGTCACTGCGTTTGCAGTTGCGATCATAAGCGGTCCAGTGAAAAAGATTATGTGGATTCATGTGTGTAGCAATGCAGTTGATCTTCATCTGTCTTACAGATTCCGGATCAGGGGTGCAAAGGAAGAGAGAATTAAATGGAAGTAGTAGGAAAGGCAATATCAGCTGGACGGGGTGGTGCTGTTTTGACACCAACAAGGGACCAGCTGCTCTCCAGCCATGTCTCTTGCAGTTTTTTCTCAGTAGCAACCGCTGGGTGCAAGACGAGCCATGTGCGACCAGTGCGCAGCATTTGTTCTGCTAGATTGATCAGTTCTAAGCTCCAAGTCATGCAAACAGCCTGCGCGGCCTACGGTTCCAGCTCTGCCAATCAAGAAGCGCGAAGCTCGGCAGCACCATACCGATGTTGGATGACGTTGCGGGAAGCTGACAGAAATTGTTAGACTTCGAAGTCTTTCGCTTGAACCCCCACAAAATATTCACACAATTTCAGACAGATTTAGTCCGGGGTCCAGATCATCAAACCAAACTTGAATAGACGCGATTCCGCCTTGGAGGCGTAAGCACTTCAGTCCTTGATTTTGTTTCGTGGCTATTGGTGGCTATTGGTGGCTCAATGTCACCGCCAAAACTCAGTGGGGATTTTCTGCGGCGTCCTCTAAAGGATCCTTGTGACATCCTGTGTGTCCTTGTGAGATCTTGTGAGTTCCTTTCAAGGATCTTGTATCGAGATGCAACGAATCTAGTTTCCCAATGTTTCCCATGGTTCCACGTATTACTCCCGACTGTTTGGGACCACTTGCTGGGGCAGTCTTGGTGTGAACTTGGATTTATCTTTTCTCAGATGAATTTGGGTCCAGATGATTAAATTGAGTTTGAATAGCTTTGGCCCGAAGTGCTTTGGCTTTGGAGGCGCCAAACCCTGAAAACGGTTTCGCCTTTCATCTCCTGATGTTTATGGCTGATTTTGTCTTTAGAATTCTTTAGACCTGTATTGTGTCTTCTTAAGTTTCAGCTTTCATTCCTCAGGAAACCGTGAGTACTGGCAAGTTCGGCTGCAAGATTGGGCGAGGGATCCACTCACACAGAAGAATCTGCTGGAGGCGTGCTGTTTCATTGGATTTTGTGTCTTGCTGCCGGAGACTTGACAAGCTCCCATGGTCAGTTGTGGTCTATCAGGGTTGAAGGTAAAAGGGATAGTACATTTCAGGCGGCGAATGGCAGAGTGCGAAAACTGTTTCGGGGATTCCGATGCGGTGAATCGGAAGGGGCATGAATCATATTTCATAATATGTCAATATATTTCATACATCATCTATTTTGGTCATATTACCCTGTGGCTGCAAGCCAGGCGGGTCTAAGTTAAGGTGTTCTGAGAGGTTATAGAAGGTCCAAAGGGGATGGGAAACTTGATGTTATCTTGTGGCCGCAAAGAGGACCCACTGTTCATCACTGATTCATCATTGATTTATTTACTGTATCAATGGCCATATCTTGCCATGAGATCTTAAAATCGTCACACATCGTCGGCTTTTCCATCGCATCTGGACAGGTCGGCTTCGCTGTCCTCCCAGGAGCCCTACTGCCCTTGGAGGTGGAGGCCCTGCTGCAAGAGCTCCCGTACCTTGTGGAAGGCGGCGCAGTGAGGATGGAGCAGCAGAGTGCCACGTCTCGATATGTCCCAATCGGTGTCCTTTGTCTGATGTACAATAATGTACATCTAAGTAAAACGCACATGTCATTTGGATTTATTTGGAGTTATTTGGAGTGTTTAAACATGTTGTTTTTCACACAAATGATCTCCGCTGATTATATATCAACTGTTATTGCGGGAATCCGTGACTGTTTATCGAACCTATAGCTGGCAAACAAGGCACCCTCTTGTCCCCTTTGATTTGAGGTTGTTATTGTTGTTGTCAACGTTGCAAAACTATTTACTATTCAGATGCCAGACTTTGCCAATATTTGCCAAAATTTGTGGTGCTGTGCCTTTTCACCTGGCAATTTAAGGCAAAGGGAACGGCGGGTGTCAAGCTCAGAATTTCCCCACGGACGCGGAACATATCAACATGGCAAGAGGCTGTTTCTATGAAGTACTTGGATTACATTTGGCCAACTGGTGCTAATTCAATGGATGCAAAACGCAGGTACGACTATTTGAGGCAGCTGCCTTTACACCTGTCAACTCTGCGGGAGGTGGCTTACGAGGTGTTCCTGCCTTCTGCCAATGAGTTCTTGCAACAGCATTGTTTGGAGGCCAGATGCCATGCATTGAAGTGAGATGTTTAACGATGTTCGCTCCAAACCCGCACAGTACAATCAGTACAGTAGATTTCAGTGCCTTAATGCATCAGTTGCCGGCAAGGTCGCCGGCTGCGGTCGGAGCATTTGCAATGAACTTGATGTGCGAGAAAGGAGAGGTGGCTTGCCGGAGTCCTTGCAGGAATTTGAATCGCTCCTCAGACCAAAGTTCATTTCAATTTCTTTGAAGGCTTCAGGATTTCTGCCTCAATGTTTGGTTTGGCTTTATGGATCGTCATTGCCTGTCATTGGCAGATGCGTTGAGGTTGTGTGAACGAAGAGGTCAGACTCGCGAAAGCAACTTGCTCTTGTGGTACCAGGCCGAGATACTGGGAGGGCCAAATTCATCATTATGCAGCCGCTGTGGTGACGACATGCATGTTACATATTGTGAATAAGGGCAATGGTGGGCAGTCCTGACTTCTGTCAGGAGGGAGGGGAGAACAGGGCCCACCGTGACATCTATGGAGAAGTGCTGGACGCTTATTGGAAAGAACAGATTCTTTGTTCCAGACTCCAGAACTAGACCGACTACTTCAGGTCATACCCCTTGCAGATGCTGCTGCTCTTGAGTCAGCCTGGGCAAGACTTTAACGGCGGAAGGTTCTTCACGATTGCAAGGGGCCCGGAGGTTTCCCAAACCGTGTTTGCATCGATCATTCCTGCTCCACAGCATGTAGTGTTGGTATACTGGTATACTATACTATACTATACTGTATCTGAGGTTGATGGCCGGAAGCAAGAGGCCAACTTGAACTGTGGAGACCTGTTGATATTTCGCACTTCTTGCAAGCATGGCTGCACATTGGTGAGGCCAGGAACCTGACTCCAGCAGCACAAGCAGTTTTGAATGCTGACAATGTATGCGATTGCGTGAGCCATGGGGGCACAGTGCATTGCAACTGTGAAGTGCACTGGCGACTTAATTGGCTCTTGCCTCAGGCGTGGACGAAAGCCAGAGGTCCGCCGGGTAGTCGCTCCTTAGCTCGACTTGAAGGTCTCAATTATTCCTTTCATATTCTCACCAGTCTGCCGAGCATGTCAGGGATACGAGCATGCCCAGCAAACGACTTCAGCTGCCAAGTCCAGTCTCAGAAAGACTAAGGTTGGATTGCAATTTGCAAAGCGGCAACTTCGCAACTCTGCAGAATCACACGGGTCTTAGCAGGTTGGAAGTGTCAAAGCACTACGATACTCAAATGTGTTGATTCACTGGGCACATTGCCTTGTGCCATCCAAAGTAGCTGAGGAAGAGAGCGCCTTGCAAGGGAGAGCAGGTGAGGCAGCGCATTGGTCGCCCGAGGGTTCAGTACACACAGACACAGGAAGTGGCCATCCTGATGTGACCTGGAGAAGTGGGGTGGAGTTGTGGCTTTGCTTGTTGAGCATTTAACGAAGCTTGATGAGCGTTCGGAATGGCGGCGATTCTCATTTGTGAGCTGCATAAGATCCTGGCGGCCATGAGTACGGGCCACCGTCCTCAATCCTGGCACGTCCCACCCATGGACGCAGCTCAACTGGCAGATGATTCGGGGGACCCTCTCAGAGTGCCCAGAAGATCTGCTGAAGTTCCTGATGTCATTGCGTTTGCAGTTGCGATCGTGTGCTGCATTTGGAAGAAAAGATCCCACAGATAGCGGCGCGGTTGATAGTCATTTGTCTTGGGGAGATTCAGGATGGTAGTGGAATGGATGGTACCGGCACTTTGGATATTTTTGGGTCCTTTGGTCGACACAAGAGTCTTGCAAGGACAATGCCCGGTCCATTTTTCAACATATGCTCTCCATGGCGGCTGAGCCTGACAATATCAGCTTGAATGCTTTGATCAAGGCCTGGTCGGTGAGGTGATCAGTGGCACTGTGCAGCTGTATTCAATATATTCAATTGATCAGTGAACCGATCACGACATGACATCTGATTCTTGAGTGAGCGGGACGAAACTGATGAAGAGTTAAACTGGGCCAGCACATTCGGTCTACTTTCCTTAATCTGATCTTATATATTATATACTTATATGTTCGATTTCCTCCTTTCACAGCTGGAGAGCCAACCCTTGGAAGCTCCGCCTCCCAAGAATAAACACTAGGAAAACACTTGACTTAGAGTAGTTGTATCATCGTTTAATGTAGTTCAATTATATAATCCTATTTGTACTTTTCACACTTGCGAAGCAAACCAATGGAACATTTTGGAACGAGTGGCCATAACCGTCAGAACTGAGCCATACAAAAAACATCAAAAAACCTTCTTCCTTTGATCAGCCTTCAGCCTTCGGAGGCATGTTCGCGAAGTAGTTGGAGTGCAGCTTCTGCTGCTTTTGGCCACATGAAGGCGTGACGGGCTCAGGTTCCCAAGACTTTCCGTTTTAAGACAACGTCACCAAGTGATGAATATATGATGAGCCTGAGAGGTGGTGACAGCGCAAGGCATGACGTCTTGCACATCTACAGCTCCCTGGAACTGGGGGTTGAATGCCTTGACACAGCTGACAGATCGGATGTGTGAAGCAGAAACTCGGCTGTCATTTTCTCACTGGCTGGTTGATAGAGTGGAAACCCCATTGAACAACCAAGTTGCCACGAGGGAACTAAAGACAATGAGTAATTATGCCAAACCGGCCCCTTCAGCTTTCCCAAAAAGAACATCCTTGTCAGGATCTGTCTAGCCATCCGTCATTTTCCTGGCCTTTGGTCATGCCAAGGATCTTGTTCTCTTCAACACAATAATTGGCACATGTTCCTCTGCAGTGCAGTGGCAGCCAGTTATGCAAATTCTCCATGGACAACAGGAGGGTGTCTTCACAGCAAGCAGGATTTCAGTTTCAAATATTGGGATGTATTGTTTTTACTCGTGCTGTTTTTCATTCTTTCCGACTCTTTGATCTCTGCATGGAAGTTGATTCACGTGGATATGAGGTGCAGGTTTGTCTCCAGACATTGTGGGATATAATTCAGCCACTTGGCACAGTCAATCATGGGTAGACCTAACTGGTGTCCATTGTCTAAATTGCTGCTACTGGAACCAGATGCCAATTCCATGCTCTTAAGCCTCACGTTGTCAGACACTTCTTAGCTCATCTTCTGTCCCAAGCTGTTGGTGGTGGCATGTCAGCCATCATGAAAGGTCATCACTGCTTGTAGCCGCGGTCGCTCATTGCATGCTGCGTCGTTCCTGCCAGAGCTGCGATATCAGTGCCTCAAGCCAAATGCCTTTATGATGCATTTATGATGCTGAGGTCAACGTGATGGAAGTTTCTGCCTGACAACTTGACAACTGCTTTCTGAAGCAGTTAATGTTTGGCAAAGATCCGGCCCATGTCCTTTTATGCTTCGTTTGAGATTGGCAACTTCTTTCGAACCAGTGACCCTCAGGCGCTTGACCCCAAACCTGGTGACCTTCAACTCCCTTCTGAGTGCTTGTGACGGAGCTGGACCGATTTGTGGTTGCACCTTCCCTGTCAACAGCAGCACTGAAGCAGCACACATGGGCATACTGTATCACGTGCGGTCATGTGTGTGTCCGTTTCATGCCGTTTCAGGAGATTGGCAAAGATCCATCGAAGTTCTGATGGATCTGAAGTTTGCGACTTTGGAGCCTGCCCGTGGCTCAGTATAATCGAAGTGGCTACACGAAGTTATGGAATGCAATTCTATGCAGCTTTTCTCTTTAGGATCCTGCCTCCCTTTCAGCAGTTCTGGGGGCCTGTTCACGAACGACGTGCTGGTCGGAAGCCTTGCAATTTTGGCGCAGTGCTTTGCCCCGAGATCAAAAAGCAGAACCTTGGAACCTAGAGATTGATGATATTGATCCATGTTGATGCACTCGACGAGCCAATGAGGCATATTTTTGGATAGTTTCAGGCTGGTTTGGGTGTCGAAAGCAAGAATTCAAGATGGCTTAGACATCTTAGACAGTTGTACTGTTTGCGTCCGTATGCAAGGAGAGTGTTGCTGCACTTGCTGTAGCCAAAGGCTTTTTCTGGAACTCCGTGCCTTGGCTGCAGCATGTTGCGTTCAGATGTAAAGATGAACAAAATGTCAAGCAGAGATGGCAGATATGACACAAGCATATAATCATATATAATTTATATAATCATATATAATCACACACATATATATATATATGTAATATACAGATATGATATCATATAATATAATGCTTATAATGGGATATGTTGGGGGTTGTCCACAAATCTGTCCAAGTTGTTGCTTTTCCCATCAGATTCTGCCAGGCCTTGTTGTCTCTCACCAAGCTGAGCAGCGCATTGCACGACTGGACGGGGCATTGGCGAATGGCCATGGACGACTGGCAGATTTCACAGCAGAGAGGTGCCAGTTGCTGTAGCATTGGTGTAGCTGTGGAGGTTATGTCATAACTATAACTGTTATATACTAGTACTGGTATAAATGTTATACTTATAACTGTTATAACCACAGAGTTCTTGCAGGTGTCAGTGTCTCCACCGACTTCTTCAATGCAGTGCTTGGGTGGCACTGTGAGCACCTGCATGTGGGGCTGGTGGGTTGAGTTCCAGATGCTTTCAAGGTGTCAAGATCTTTCAAGATTTTTTCAACAAGATTCATTTTTGTCTTAGTTTATTGGTCTGCCATGCCATGCCTGTGTTGAATGCGGCCAGAGGCTGTGAGTGCGTGCAGTTCAGTGTGGCGGATTGCCTTACAGCTCTTTGGCCAAGCCACTACTTTCCGGATCCGTGTTGATCAGGTGAGTGGTCCGCTGATGGGATTGGATGGGACTTGTATGATTTTCGAGGTGTCAAACGGCTGAAAGCTTGTTGATTTGTTATGAGTGTTATGATTTGTTGACATATGTTGACATGTGTGACACTTTCGCAGTTTTTCAGTGTCTCGCGTTTTGGCACAGGTGTGCTATGCCGTGGCTTTGAACGCCTGCAGCTCCGGACAGCTATGGCTGGAGGCACTGTGGCTAGGTTGCACTGAAGAAGTCCCTCAGTGTTGCCGTGTTGCCGTGGAGGACTGAGGTACGCCAGGTATGCCAGGTATGCAGTGAATTGGAGTGAATGTGTTTGGATTATTTTACGAAAGCCAGCTAGCTGGCTAGTTGCTGTTTGCGAACGAAGTGAGAATAGGGGGGTGTGGGGGGGGCTGGTTGCCGAAAGGGAACGAAATCTCGCCGTGCCCCTGTGTTGAGCGCGAGAAAACGGAGCATTTTGCGGGATTATGTACCACTAGGCAATTTGCTGACGGTGGGGTATCGATTCCCCCTAGGTCCGCCTTTTTGGTGGCCGGAGAGACCATGAGGATGTATTGGAAAATACAATGAAACTGCAGGAAAACATGATAACGATCAGAGGAAATCATACAAAATCCCCTGGAAAACGGACGAAAACGGAGCGAATGCTAGGAACAAACCATTGAAAATCCCTTGGAAAATGGAGGAAACCGGAGCGAATGCTAGGCGCAAACCATGACGATACAGTAAACATGCTGGAAAAATACAGTGAAAGTGCAGGAAAATGTGATAACAACGAGAGGAAATGGTGCAAAAAGGATCGGAAAATGAAGGAGACAGGTAAAACTCTTGGATTAATATTAATATTGAAAAGGTATGAAAATGCAGGAAACCAGAGGAAATGGTGCAAAAACCTATGGAGGAAAGAGGTGAAAATGATAGGAAACATGTAGTAAAAAATGAAAGTGCAGGAAAATGCGATAACAACCAGAGGAAATGGTGCAAAAACGATCGGAAAATGAAGGAGACGGGTAAAACTCTTGGAAAAATACATTGAAAATGCAGATGGTGCAAAAAGGAGACGGGTAAAAATCTTGGAAAAATAGATTAAAAATGCATGAATAGACTGAAAACCCACGAAGAGGATATAGAAACTGCAGGAAAACATGATAACAATCAGAGGAAATCGTGCAAAATCCACTGGAAAATGCTGGAAAGATACAGTGAAGGAAAATGTGATAACAACCTGGCAGGAAAATGTGATAACAACCAGAATAAAGGGTGCAAAATCTGTTGGAACATGGCGGAAACCGGAGCGACTGCTAGGAACAAACTATGACGATGCAGTAGACATGCTGGAAAAATACAGTGAAAGTGCAGGAAAATGCGATAACAACCAGAGGAAATGGTGCAAAAACGATCGGAAACTGAAGGAGACGGGTAAAACTCTTGGAAAAATATATTGAAAATGCATGAAATGCAGGAAACGAGAGGAAATGGTACAAAAAGCCATAGAGGAAAGCGGTGAAAATGGTAGGAAGCATGTAATTAAAAAAAGCTGGACAAAACACAGTGAAAACCTACAAAAGAGAAGAAAGTAACCACAGGAAACGGTAGAAAAAGGAGTGGAAACTGGAAGAAAAGTTGTGACAATATTAGGAAAACGGTGTGCAAGCTAGGAAATGCTTGTAACAACTAGAGGAAACGATGTAGAAAACAGTACAACATGGAGGACACGCGTGAACATGCTAGGAGGCATGTAACATGTTAGAAAAATACAGTGAAAACCTAGGAAAATGTTATAACTAAAAAATGCTTTAAAAACTATAGTGAAAACCAAGACAATGTCAACGAGCGGAAACGTTGAGCAGGAAATCCGATTTGGTTTCTGTAGATAATGTTAGATGATGAGCAATGTAGTTTGGTGATAGGAAATAGTGGCTGACTCGCGTACAAGACATTGCCATGAAACCTTGGAGCAAGATGCGGGTGGTATAGGAAAAAAGATGTATGAGTTGTAAGATTTTAGGAGTTGCATGGGAAAATTGGTTTCATGGTAATCTGTGTGAAGTTAGAAAAGTGTGATTTCGTTCACAGAGTAAGAAAAATAAATACAATCTGCAGATTAGAGTATTTATAATGCTTAAAGCTGTTTGACGTTTTTTTGGTGCCTCCCTGATTCTGGTAGTTTTGTGATAAGAACTACAAAAACGATCTACTGGTAAACGGAAGGAATAGTCTTTCCGGTTTAGAACTGAGCCGACTGTCAAGTGATGCATAGGCTCCAGGCCTCTGGTTATTGTCACAAAGCATTGGAATGAAGATTGCGCCCAGGAGCCACCCAGGTTAGGAGACAAATGCTGTAATATCATTGTAAGAGGCCGTACTGAGAAGGCTGAAACAGAACTAAAAGTGAATCTTGTACTAAAACATCGAGAAAGAATTTGAATCTTCTAATGGCAATGACGGGAATGATATGCATCTGTACGTCCGTGATAGTATGTGTGCCTTTTAAAAGGGATGTTTGGCGAGTGTGATAGCTGAGAAGATTTTCCGGGATGCGAAACAATTATCTCTATCGATGTCAGGGATGATGCTATTCCGCGAATTTCCTGTAAAATACCTATTTTCCAGACCCTTGGGGGGTGGGGGGGGGTACCCAGGTCTGTAAATGGCCTAAATATATATACTTTTGATTTGGACTGCATGTTCGCCACTGTTCTATATTTCCCGTGGGTTTTGCATTGTTTTCTTCGATTTTCATTCGTTCTTATACCCTTTCTTACGTATGTTATAATATTGTCTTGGGTTTGCACTGCCCATTTTGCGAGTAGAGCTATGTTTTGATTTCTCACCGTACGGCCAAAATGTTGCGGAACTTCGCGGAGAAGCATGGACCACGATTCTGGGGAGAAAACAATTTAGACTGTGAGAGGTCACATGACCACTGTTCACACAAAAAAGCGGGTATTATTTATCTACAATAGGTGGGAGCAAACTTGCGCTTTTTTAAGATAAATGAGCAACCAAAGGCGGATTTACGGAACTTGAGATAGAATTTTTCACAATGCCGCAGTACATTGTAGGAAACATATTTGGATATAGAAGGTACAAAATCGTGGAGTTTACCCTAAAAAGGTCCATTTAATGATTGGAAAATTATGACCCGATAGCTATTGTTGATGTTGGGGCGCTTCATGTTTGAGCCATGCCATATGGATGCGGTGGAGTTTCACGCGCCCCCGCGCGAGTCAAAAAGCAAGCGCTGGCTTCCGTTCCACCCCTTCTCAGGTTTGCTTTTGTTGCCTCCTGCTTTCCTTCAGCCAATCGATTCTCCCATTTCGTAGAACAACTGGAACGGTCCTGCTGTCAAGGTCTCTCCTGCGTGCTGCCGGGCATGTGCACAGCCCTACGTTACGAAATGACGATCTCATGATGTGCTTCAATACGGCCATGTCGTGGCTAGACTGCGAAACACAAGGGGAAAGATGGAGCCTTCATACTTCCTGGAATTTGAGTTGAGCCCAGTGGAATTGAGCACAGAGAAATTCAGCCAAGTGATTAGTTCATCTTTCAACCATGGGATTTGAGACAAGGTGCTGCGAGAGCCAATTGACTTGGACGGTTTCCTTAAAGGTCCTCCAGGATTTGTTGCAGGCCTACACTTTTCATTTCCTGGTGGATGATTGTGGTTTAGCATCCCACATGTGGCTGGAAGGCACTGGTGGAAGCAGACCAGAAAAGCTATCGATCACCTCTTCGCACCTGTGGTTACGGAAGTGGTACTGGACCTCAGTGGAAGAATCGATTGGATAGTGATTAGAATGATTAGATAGTGAAGGTGAAGCATATGTGTGAAACATTGTTGAAACATGTTGAACTGTTGAACCTTCTGATTCACTGATGACTCTAGTGGTATGACTCGGTACGCAAATATGTGGACCGTGCCAAGGCTGGCGCACTGCCATGTCCTTGCTGTGGCGGATGACACAAGGCATGCGTTTTCATGGTTCACTTGGCCCATGGGATCGTCAATCGTTGAGTGCAGGTCGCACCAAAGACACAGACAACTCCGCCTTTTCAGCTGCTGTTTGGGCAGCAGAGGCATGGTGGAATCACTGGGTCCATTTGAGGCAAGTGAATTAGGCGAATTGGGCAACCAGGGAAACTTCATGCCACATTCTTAGATTTCTTAGTGCCAGGTGACAGCGAGCCCGACGCAAGATATCGCAGCTCTATGTGCTGCAGAAAAGACCTGTGCTGCATCCTGCTGCATCATGCTGTCATTGCTATACAGAGCCACAGGTATTCCTCCGCCGTGCAATTCGTTCTAAGTCTTCGCCATGCTGAGATTTCCGGTAGTTTCTAGTTTCAAAATGTTTCAAAACGTTTCAAAGGCCTGGCAAAGCTCCAGCGGAAGACATTGTGATGCCCTCAGCCAAACATTGGGGCAACCAGAACTCCACGAGATACTCCGTGACTCTGCGCGTTTCGGAGTTTGGGCCTTAGCACTTGAGGCGTACCGCATTGGTGGCACTCAGCAGCTATCAAGGCACAAGCCCCTGTCAAACATACAAATTTGATATTGAGTTGGCTAGTCATTGCTAGTCTAAATATGCCAAAGTTTTCTGTTTCCGATTCCTCTCAGAGTGCTTGATTCACCTAGCGATGTTCTCTAAAAACCAGGCACTCGAAGCCCGGCCTCTGACCTGCCGCCGCTTACTGGCGGTCTGGGATCCATCAATGCTCAACAGCAGTTTCCTCAGCAACGCGCAAGCCTCACAAAAGTAAAACAAAAAGGTAGAAGATAGTAGAAGACTCTCATGGGCTCTGATGGGTTCGGCAGAATTTCAGTGCTATGGAAAGCATGGATATACAGATGATATGCATGACACGTCATCACACTTTGAAGATCTTTGAAGCATTTGACTTATTTGACCCATCCGACTTTCCACCACGATCACCCTAGACCCAATTAAATAGATCCAAGTAGCAGTGCCAAGCTCGGCTCGAGGCTGTTCACCGCCTTTGTCCCTGCCTCCAGTCCTTCACTCATGGCACCTCCTCGACGAGGTGCTGGGGACTCACTTTGCAGCCTTTTGCAGCAGCCGTTGTCCATCCTTTGTCGAGGCAACCTGGGAAGACGCGCAGCAACCTCACAATTGTGAGGGAGGTGGGCAGAGGCAACTGCTGGGAATTGCATTGTATATAATTATACTGTAGTATATATATATAGAGTATATTAATTGATATAATTCTAAATTGTTTTGCTTGGTGCTTCCAAAGCTGAATTTCCGCCCTTGCTTTCACTGTAGTTTCGCACCTATGTTGTGTACATACGAGCGCTGAATGCTGAATTCCAGTGGGATCCAGTGGGATTGCAGCAATTGTCATTGGGCTGTCGATGAGATGATAAAACATGTCGTGCAGCCGACGATTTGAAGTTGCAGCAGCCGTTGAGGGTAGTATCCTCCTTGCATTTGTGGTGTTGCTGTTTTGGTTCTGGAATTACAATCTGAGGAAAGATGTAGAAATCATGCAGCTCAGGAATCCTTCAAATATTAGTCAAGTTGTTCCAATTTGCGCAGTCAATTGCCTTTAGCTTATGTTTGATGCACTGTATCTGCATTTGAACCGCCTCTCTTGTCAGGTTGACACGCGGCTTTCAGGATAGGCTATGATAGATATCCAATGGTATCCACAACGGAAATATTCACGTCGCTTCGCGACGGCAACCGCCCGCACCGCATCGTTGGGCTCACACAGCAGGGGCATTGAGACCAAAAACATCCGAAAGTACTGATTGTCGGAAAAAAAAACCGCGAAGAATTTGATGGCCATGTATAGCGGACCAACGCAGTTCAAAAAATAACTAAAAACATGAAAAAACGGCGAAATTGCTGTTATTTACAGTGTTTTTGCGCGGTGAGAAGCAGAAACCACTGCAAATACCATGGTTTTTGAGGGTCAGGTGGCCAAAACACTGTAATTTACAGTGTTTTTTTAACCAACGTCAAAAAACACTGGTATTTACGATGTTTTCATTCACACCGTAACATAAAACAGCGTAATTTACGAGGTTTTTGGAAGTTTTGAAGCTAGCCGTCAAGCATGCAGAAAACAGAAAAACACTGTAAAAACCAGTGTTTCTGCTATCCCAAAACGACGAAAATCAGTCCGAAAACGGGTCCAAAAACTCAAAAATCCGCCTCCGGGCCAGGCCACCTGCGGAACCGCAAAAAAAGATGTTGCAAACCAAAAAATTGAGGTCAAAAAGTTGAAAAACACGGTTTTTTTCACTTTTCGCTTGCCGATTTTGGACGGGCGCGTTCACGAACAGGTGTCTTCCGTACTGTTTTTTACAGTGTTTTTTGAAGGCGAGCGTCACGACCTATCAAAAACAGGAGGTTTTGGCCGAAAAATGCCCCCCCCCCCCCAGGTAAACCTGTAACCTTTTACGAGTGCCATCCGGAAGATCACGCCCCAGCACCTTCGGTGCGGGCGGATTTTCCATACGCCACCGGGGCGTTGTCATGTGAATCCAAATCCATCCAAATCCAAACTATTCCAGTCTTATCACTGGATGTACTTCGCACTATATCCCAGATGGAGGTGGAGATGGGCCCTCATTCACACACTACTTTGTGACACACCATCTTTCACACGCGACTTTTTGACACACTATCTTTCACCCACCATTTTTCACACACAACTTTGTCACAGACCATTTTTCAAACACAGCTTTGTCACACACCATCTTTCGCACACAACTTTGTCACACACCACTTTGTCACACACCATCTTTGCCACAGTGTGGAGTGAGGGGTGTACAGTGTAAACTGTAAGGTGTGGAGTGTAGAGTGAAAAGTGTAGAGTGTAAAGTGTAGAGTCTGGAGTGTAAAGTGTGGAGTGTGGAGTGATGAGTGTACAGTGTAAAGTGTAAAGTGTAAAGTGTGGAGTGTAGAGTGTAGAGTGTAAAGTGTAGAGTGTAAAATGTAGAGTGTGGAGTGTGGAGTTTGGAGTGTGGAGTGTGGAGTGTAAAGTGTGCAGTGAGGAGTGAGGAGTGTAAAGTGTGGAGTGTAGAGTGTAAAGTGCAGAGTGTAGAGCCTGGAGTGTAAAGTGTGGAGTGTAAAGTGTGAAGTGTGGAATGTAAAGTGTAGAGTGTGGAGTGGAAAGTGTAAAATGTGGAGTGTGGAGTGTAAAGTAAGGAGTGTGGAGTGTAAAGTGTGGAGTGTTGAGTGTAAAGTGTAGAGTGTGGAGTGTGGAGTGAGGAGCATGGAGTGTAGAGTGTCGAGTGTGGAGTGAGGAGTGTAAAGTGTGGAGTGTACAGTGTAAAGTGCAAAGTGTGGAGTGTAGAGTGTAGAGTGTAAAGGGTAGAGTGAAAAGTGTAGAGTGTAAAGTGTAAAGTGTAGAGTGTAAAGTGTAGAGTGTGGAGTGTAAAGTGTAGAGTGTGGAGTGTGGCGTGGAAAGTGTAGAGTGTGGAGTTTGGAGTGTGGAGTGTGGAGTGTAAAGTGTAAAGTGTAAAGTGTAGAGTGTGGATAAGGAGTGAGGAGTGTGGAGTGAGGATTGTTGAGTGAGGAGTGTGGAGTGAGGAGTGTGGAGTGTAGGGTGAGGAGTGTGGGGTGTGGAGTGTGGAGTGTGGGGTGTAAAGTAAGGAGTGTGGAGTGTAAAGTGTGGAGTGTGAAATGTGGGGTGAGGAGTGTACAGTGTAAAATGTGGAGTGTGGAGTGTAGAGTTTAAAGTGTAGAGTATAGAGCGTGGAGTGTAAAGTGTGGAGTGTAAAGTGTGAAGTGAGGAGTGTAAAGTGTAAAATGTGGAGTGTAGAGTGTAAACTGTAGAGTGTGGAGTGTCAAGTGTGGACTGTGGAGTGTGGAGTGTAACGTGTTGAGTGAGGAGTGTGGTGTGAGGAGTGTAAAGTGTAAAGTTTGGAGTGTAGAGTGTAAAGTGTAGAGTGTAAAGTGTAGAGTGTGGAGAGTGGAGTGTAAAGTGTGGAGTGTGGAGTGTGGAGTGTGGAGTGTGGGGTGGAAAGTGTAGAGTGTGGAGTGTAAAGTGTGGAGTGTAAAGTGTAAAGTGTAGAGTGTAAAGTGTAGAGTGTGGAGTGTAAAGTGTGGAGTGTGGAGTGTGGCGTGGAAAGTGTAGAGTGTGGAGTTTGGAGTGTGGAGTGTAAAGTCTGGAGTGAAGAGTGAGGAGTGCAAAGTGTAAAGTGTGGAGTTTAGTAGAGTGTACAGTGTAGAGTGTAAAGTGTCGAGTGTGGAGTGTGGAGTGTGGAGTGGGGAGTGGGGAGTGTGGAGTGTGGAGTGTAAAGTGTGTGTGGAGTTTGGGGTGTGTAAAGTGTAGAGTGTGGAGTGTAGAGTGTGGAGTGTGGAGGGTACAGTGTAAAGTGTAAAGTGTTGAGTGAGGAGTGTACAGTGTAAAGTGTAAAGTGTAGAGTGTAGAGTGTGAAGTGTAGAATGTAGAGTGTAAAGTAAGTGTAAAGTGTAGAGTGTAAAGTGTAGAGTGTAAAGTGTAGAGTGTGGAGTGTCAAGTGCAAACTGTAGAGTGTGGAGTGGAAAATGTAGAGTGTGGAGTATGGAGTATGGAGTGTGGAGTGTGGAGTGTAAAGTGTGGAGTGAGGAGTGTGGCGCGAGGAGTAAAATTAAAGTGTGGAGTGTAGAGTGTAAAGTGTGGAGTGAGGAGTGCGGCGCGAGGAGTAAAATGTAAAGTGTAGAGTGTAGAGTGTAAAGTGATGTAAAGTGTAGAGTGTAAAGTGTAGAGTGTAAAGTGTGGAATGTGGAGTGTAAAGTGTAGAGTGTAAAGCGTGGAATGTGGAGTGTAAAGTGTAGAGTGTGGAGTGTGGAGTGTAAAGTGTGGAGTGTGAAGTGTGGAGTGAGGAGTGTACAGTGCAAAGTGTAAAGTGTAAAGTGTGGAGTGTAGAGTGTAAAGTGTAGAGTGTGGAGTGTAGAGTGTAAAATGGCAAGTTGGGAGTGTAGAGTGTGGAGTGTATAAAACAGGTTGAAATGTTGCGAACGTAACCGCAACGTCGAGCGAACACACCCTCAGCCCCCAGACCCCCAGAGTGAAACGGGAACCCTTGCTACGCATTCGGGAAAAAGGCATGACATGGAGGAAAGGCAAAGCTTTGCAAAAGCTAGGAAGATAGAGGCAAGCATATTTAAAAAAATATGGATCCGAAGCTCAACAGAGAGCAGCGTCCGTTGGGGTTCGGAGCAAGACAGTTTGCAGAACAAAAAAGATTCCGGCTAGGGGCTGGCTTTCGTCCCCCCTTCTCAGGTATCCCAGATGGAGGTGGAGATGGGCCCTCAGGAGGTCTCAGGGCTCGAAGCCATGGGATTCCTTTGACATGGAGCCCCTCAGATGGGCCAAGGAGACCTGCATCAGGGAGCTCCAGATGTGTTGCAACCGGCGCACACCGGATCATTTCCCATCATCATCAGGAGCTCCATCTGAAGGTTCAAGTGATGTGGCCACCGCTGCAGCTACGGAGAGATATTCCGAGCTCATGAGAGCATTTCAGGCAAAGCAGCCAGGAAGCCTGTATGAGGTGTGCACCGACCCAATGACAGGGAAACCATGGTGGTATGACCTTGTCACAGGTGAGGCTGTTCATTCTTGCCCTACTGGCATCATCCTCAGGGATTGCAGCTCGAGTTAAAAAGAGAAAGCAACATGGGGTCAGGGTTCTGGCATGTTCTGGCTGATGTCAGGCATGTAGACGTGTGCTTGTGTGCTTGCAAGTGCTAGCATAGGCGTTGATTTTGTTGGAAATGCTCAGATCTGAAATGCTACAGCACGCGAGCTTACCCTCCGGTAGGTGAGCTGGTAGCTGACCATTGGGCCGGATTCACTTTGTTGGAGGTTGACACGGTCTCAGAACTGAACTTAGTTGGCCATGGGCTATCCATGCCAGATGCAGGGCCACAGGATGGAACGGGAAATTGTAAGATATTGTAAGTAGATATGTATCCTAGGTTCAGCATATCGTGACGCTAACGGAAGCAGTTTCCTGTCTCCATGTATCAGGTTTCATGATGCATAGCATTCGAAGCTGCCGCAGTGTCTAGCTGTAGTTGGACTTCTTCGTTTTCTCCATGTTTTTGCTTGTGAAACTGCAGCCTTTGGCCCAAGCATGAGGATCATGAGGGGACATGCATCAGATTGGAATGCAATTCTGCTAGGGCCAAGATTCAGCTGGTTTGTCTTTGACTAAAAACTACAATGGTGTTCCCAGGCAGACAGATGAAAGTGAGAACAACGCAATGCTTGATTTCATGGTCCGTCAACGCCGTCAACTTGTAATTTTCAATTTGTTTCTATCGTTTTCCATTGTTTTTCTTCTAGCAATCTGAGCCTTAGTTCCCTGGAAAAAAGGGGATCTTTTGGACATCTTTGGACCAAAGCAGCATTTCAACCGCAGATTCAACTTATCAGCCGAAAGGTCTTAGAGCATGCTTTCAGGCGTTCAGGTCAGACAGCGCAACTTTCAATCCCATTTTTTCCCGAATGCGTAGACCGCGCGGGGTCTACTTCAAAAACCGACCAGAGTGCTATACCAACTTCATACACTAGCATCACTTTCCTAACATTTACATTCGAACTAAAATGACCTAAAAACGTACGTGACAGATTTTGTTACTTCAATACGTGGCAGTCATGGCAACGGTGCGGCATGCAGCTTTGGTTGGATCGGCCTTGTCTTCATGTTGGTACTCGGCTGAGTGTCCTGCTTCACTGCCCTGGAGAGAGCGCATGATCAAAGGCTGCTTTGTCTTTCAGATGTGCTGCATCTTTGACGGATCGTTTGGTGAACGATGCTGGAACTCCTTCTTTACCTTCGAAAAATGCTGCTCGCTTAGCATGGATTCAGATAATCAGCGCCACATCCCCTACTGGCATTCCAAAGAAGTTTTGGTGAAGCTGCGAGAGCCTTTTGCGCAAGCTGTCAGCGCAGAAGGTCTGTTGAGAATCTACCAGGAGATACCTGAAAATGAATGGCAGATCTACCAACCAGAGAGGGTGCCGCTGGTGCTGTGGGAGTCTGGCTACCTGATGATGCGATGGATGGAAGCACGAGCTGCCTCAAAGACGTTCTCAGATCAGCGTGTGCTGGAGCTTGGTGCTGGCATTGGGTTGGCTGCCATCTTTGCATCTCTTGCTGGGGCAAGTGTCGTGGCCACGGATGCCTCCAACCAAGCAGTTCAGCTTATCCGTAAGAACATCCAGGCAAATCTCGGGGACCGCGGGAGGATTACTGCGCTACGCTTGGATTGGACCCAGATTGTCAATCCCAGTTTGGATCCCAGCTCCAGAAAGGAACGGGCTAGACAAAAGTTGGCAGAGGCCGGCGTGTCCGGACATTTTGACATTGTTGTGTGCGCGGCTCTTGGATATGTACCGATCTCAACATTTCATGCCTTGCTTGGAATTCTGGATTTAACCACCGACCAGAAGACAACTGTCTTGTGGGGTGCGGGAAAAGAAGCGACCATCCATTTGAATAATTTGAAGCTTTTGAATCAATCTTTCAAGCATGACCAGAAAGCAGTGGAGTTGGCCAAGGCATTCAAGGTTTCCAAAGAATTGGGAGAGGACCGGCCGCCTCATCTGAATCTCTTCGAATTGCGTCGAAGGGCCTCCTGGAGAGAAGCTCCAGTTTTTCAAGACGAGTATCGAAGCTGAGCCAGTGGGGATTCCACCGTACATCTTGGCAAAGCCTGGGGAGTTGTTCAAGTTGGTCCTTCATTGGCCAAAAAACGACACAGCAAAGTGCAACCAGACATGGAGCTTCCATCAGATTCCCAAGTCATCCAAGATATCCAAGTCTTTCCTGCCAAAAACGGCTGACAGCAAGAGCAGCAAGCTGCCCCAAGCCATCTCAACGGTTTCCCAGCTTAGACCTACCACGCGCCCAAGAATCGTGGAACCGGTTTTGGTCCGTGACAAGATCCAGAGCCAAGCTGCAACCAAAAGGTTGGAATGATTGGTGGGTATGGGATCCAGTGGGATTGCAGCAATTGTCATTGGGCAGTCGATGAGATGATAAAACATGTCGTGCAGCCGACGATTTGAAGTTGCAGCAGCCGTTGAGGGTAGTATCCTCCTTGCATTTGTGGTGTTGCTGTTTTGGTTCAGGAATTACAATCTGAGGAAAGATGTAGAAATCATGCAGCTGAGGAATCCTTCAAATATTAGTCAAGTTGTGCCAAATTGCGCAGTCAATTACCTTTAGCTTATGGTGCACCGTATCTGCATTTGAACCTCTCTTGTCAGGTTGACGGACACGCGGCTTTCAGGATAGGCTATGATAGATATCCAATGGTATCCACAACGGAAATACGCCACCGGGGCGTTCTCATGTGAATCCAAATCCATCCAAATCCAAACTATTCCAATCTTATCACTGGAGATGGGCCCTCAGGAGATCTCAGGGCTCGAAGCCATGGGATTCCTTTGAGATGGAGCCCCGATGGGCCAAGGAGACCTGCAGGGAGCTCCTGTGTTGCAACCGGTGCCACTTTCGATCTCCAGGAGCACAAGTGTCCAGCCCAAATGAAGAGCAGGATGGCAAGTTTCGCTATGTCGCATCAGCCGATCATCAGCCTTTGCTTTTGCTGTTTCTTTCGTTTTTTTTGAATAATTCATTTCTGCAAGTGCCAGGCGGCTGTCAATTTTCTGGATGGATCGTGCCTGGAGAAAGTGTCCGAGCCGGTGCCCATCTCACCTGTGCAGAAGAAGAGAAACGGCTGGTCCTTTGTGCAGCTTTTGGACCAGCGGCTGGGGCCTCGTTGGGTGTTTGACGATTCATACCATTCATCTATGATTATTCATGCCGATGTCGTAGAGTTGGGGAGAGGGATAGTGTCTGGGAAAGGCAGCTTTTGTTAAACTACTGAGGTTGCTTTGTCCACACCTTTTCTCTTGGACCTCACTTGTAGATGCTGTGCAAGCGCGCACAGCCTGCCGTGTGCTAAGAGCGCGTATCAGTTCGCGTTGTGAGATGCACACCCCTTGGCTGTTTACAATGCGAGCAGGACACAGCTGGAAAGCTGCTAGTGCTTTTCATAATTTTCAAACACTGTTCCAGTATCTCGCGCAGTGTCCTAAGGCACATGTTGGCACAGACTGTCTGCAGAACAAAGATGGCTGGAGCTGTGTGTGCTCAATGGCAGATGCCTCGGGTCAATTTGCAAAGGTTTAGAAGGTACAAGCGACACAATATGAAAGATATATCTTGAACACCTGTGCAAAAATACTTTGAAAAGAACGCGTTGTTGAGAGTGCATGTGTTGTATGATGAACTCGAACGTCATAGATCAAATCTTTCAAGCTCCAACCAGACACTGTCAGGTGGGGTGGTGAGACAGCAGCGCTTGAAATTGTGGAGGCAGCTGACTGCAGCATCTTGGATGCATTGGCATTCTCCTTCATCAGAAAGTCATGGATATTTTATAAATATTATAAATGATGTTATCAAGATATATTGAAATAGTTAGAGTATGTTGGAGTATTTTGGACTCATCTTCCGAGTCTGTTTTCCCCGGTGTTCAACGCTGCAGGTTGAAGCCCTTGAAGCCGGCTGGTGCCGGAAGCTGGGCGTCCAAAGCTCCGAAGACGCCTTCAATGCCCTCCTTCAGCAGCCGCTGCCTGGAAGCTCAAGCGACGGCCATGACATGGAGATGCTATCTATCTGTATATAGTGTGTGTGTATAGTGTGCATATAGTGTGTATATAGTGTGTATATAGTGCACAAACACACACACATATATATAATATATATATAATTATATATATATATTTATATTTATGATTAACTATATATGTATATGTATGGTTGTGTATGCATGTCTATCTATATATAGATATAGATTTCTAATATCTATTGTACTTTATGCTGCACACATATGATACTGCAACTAATATAAAATTAACATTTAATTGCATCGAATTGCATTTCTAAAGAGAAGAGCCAGCCATCAAACAAGACCTAATCAATCTCGCGGTCCGTTTCAGGTCCCAATCGAAGATCTCAGAAATTGAACGCGATGTTCATCGGACATATCCAACCCACGAACGTTTCTGTGGAGAGGAAGGCAGGCCAACGCCTGTTGGCGGAGAATCACCATGCTCGTGGCCAAAGCAGTCCTTCTCCAAAGTTCTGCAGGTGCCGTGGGTCGACGTGAGCTGTCGCAGGCGGGCTGAGATCTGAGATGCCGTAGAATCTCTTTTCGTATCTTTTCGTCATATGTTATATGTTGGCCTGAACATGTGGAGGTATTGCAGGCAGTTGTCGTGGCAGAGTCTGGGCCCCAGAATCCTATAGAGCCAGATCAAAGTGATATGAAATGATATGAATCCTTTTGAATCCCTTCGATTGGCTGAAAGGCGTGTGCATGGGTGTGCTGTGTGCAGTGGTTAAAGCCATTTCCTGTGCTAATCGCTGCAGCCACCTTCCTGGTTTGGCAAGGCCCAACGTTGGCTACTGCCAGGGCATGAACTTTGTGGCAGCTACCCTGCGAGGTTCTCAGGAGATTGTTGGTCGAATTTTGATGGGGCAAAGATGTAACATTTTAACTTTGATGAATTCAAAGGAATCCCAATAAGGATCAATAAGGCATAAGAACCACAACTGTCAGACTGCCATAGCCTCAAGGCGCACTGCGACCGTCCTGCCCAGGTTGATACATGCAGATTCCATTCAGGAGGCTTTTTGGCTGCTCCTCGCGCTATTGGAAGGCCCCCGATGTGTGAATTGAAGGCCATGGGCCATGGATGCTCATTCCTACGCTATATGGCGGCTATGCCAGACCGACTCATATTGCTATACCATGCCTTGTCAGTGTTTTGTCAGTGCCTTGTCCAGGATATCACTTCCGCTACGTGTTCGCTCCAGGGGTTGTGGCCTAAAGATCGTGCAATCTGTTTGCAGTTGACACTGCTGGTGGCCCAGGTTCCACTGGTGCCGCTGGAAGCCCAGCTTGGTGCAGCTATGGAGTAAACACTTTTTTTTTCCAAGTTGTGATGCCGGTCATTTAGCCGGAGTTGTTTTGGAACCTATGCTTATTCTTTGGTAATTATAGGTCTTTGATACACGACAATATTTATGTACATTTTTTTCACTTGATTCATTCATGCATTAATCATTAACAAATGAATTTGTTTATTTCGGAAAGCATTTATTCATTCATGACATAATTGATTTTACTGAATGATATACATTTGATATCATATGATTACATACTCTAATCAATTAATACATCCGTGTTTGTGTGTGTATGTGCATTTGCTCCAACCGTGTCTATGGATTAATTGTGCACACGTACAGCGCCAGCTGTATGGTGCTTTATCCAATTCCTCACCATTTCTCACATTTGATTGGTCCATTCCAATGCCTTCTATTGGTTTTTGTAGTATGCTGTAAAGACTGATCCTTTCTGGTTTCGATTTGTGTCACATTGGATCAGGCTGCGGGTTTCCCAGTTCTCCGGCTTGGTGCAAAGAAACCTGCCACATCTCTGGCGACACTTGCGGGAGGAGCGTCGAGGGTTGGTCAAATGGAAGGGAAACATGGTCAGATGGAGGGTTCCTGGCAGGATGGACATAGCTTGGAGATATTCGCACATCAATGTGTAGTGAACTCAGAAATGATCCTTTGGAACAGCCAGCTGCGACTGCAGGTGATGCTTGCCAGTATCTTGCAAGTAAATTCATTGTACCATTTGTATCCATTTGTCACTAAATCAAGGTGTTGACGCTTTTCTCCTACAGCTTGGGGCGGGCAGCCCAAGTTCTGAACAAGGGCCTTCAGAGCCGTTGCCGTTGGTCACCAGACTGACTCAGCCGACTCAGCCAAGTGCAGGCCCGACTTGCTGGCGCATGTTTACGACGTCTTCTTCCTGCTGGGATGGAAGGCACCTGGTAGACCTGGTAGATCGCTGTGGGTGACTTGTGGGTGACTGGTGTCTGGCGAAGTGCACCAGTTCTTCCCACCTTGCCGTTTCACAGGCGGTTTTTCGGATAGGCTGGGGCGAGCTGTTGGAATACGGTGAGCGGTGAACACAAAAGAGGGCAGGAGCAATGACCAACATAATGTCACATGTCATGTTCTGAAGCAATCTTCGCAGTGAATTTTGTGAATTTCCTGGTTGCCTCTTCCAAATCGATCACCTTCAAGAGGTGTCAGCCTACTGGCAACCTTGGAAGATCAGTTGCAGGTGGCTCAGTTTTTGGACTTGGCTGTGCCAAGTTATTTGTGGTCAAACCCTTGAACCTGCAGTCACAGAATTGAATTACATTTCAGATATTGATGTTCCCTGTTGGCATACAAGATTGCAAGGTGCGGCCGATTCATCGCTCTCGTAGTTTGAGTACAGCAGCACAAAATGCTGGAACTATCTGTAACCCTCAGGTTGAACATGGACCTTGAAGATATCTCTCACTATTTGCATCAGCGGTGTCCTTGGCCGTGCAAAGACGCTCTGGGTGTTAAATGATGTTAACACTTTGCATCATCTTACCTGGTGACCCTCTGTACGCTTGCTTTCAACCAGTCTCTTTCAGTTTTCATGTCTTCCTTGGGACTCTTCGACTTTTCCAATCTCAGGTGCAAGCGACATTTGAAACTTGGGTCTGGAGCTTGGAAAACACATATGATATAGTTCATAGAGTGTTCATAGTATGTTCAGTTATTTTCAATCTATTCTGTGCAATGGTTCAATTGCAATATGCTATGTGTGTATATATATATATGTATACACCCTGAAAGCCAAATGACTTAATCTACCCACCATAGTAGTAAAAATGCACAACTTAACCCAGGGGTAAAATGAGTGATTGGGATTTTCTGGGATATCTATACATATATCTACTCAGTTCCGGTATGCCCCGGCTTGTGTCACCAGAGACTGAGGTCTGGCCCTGTTGCCATTCGAACCTTGCTGCGCTTCGAGGTTTCGTCAAGCAGTCCACGCCCCAAGTGGCGCAGCCAACGGTTGCGGGGATGGATTCTGACAGCAAGGCCTGGAAGAGTTGGAGTCTGCCTTCCAACTTGAGCGCTTCAAGGCTCCGGAAATCAGATGTGGATCCTGGTCAGAGTCATCCAGTGTAGGGAACAAGTGCGGATGAACATGTACGATTTGTCATGATAGGAATTGACCTTGGAATCGGCAGCAGGTGCTGCTGGCCAGCGTCCCTGGCGATGGGGAGCAGGTTGGCAATATTTGGCAATGCTTGTCCATCCAGCACAGCAATCCATCAAGAGGAAGAATGAAGAATTTTATTTATGACCATCAAGTTTTGAAATTGCTCCTGTGCTGGCGGGTTTGCATTCTGCATGCAGCGAGAAGATGAATAGCTTGAACAGCACATTGATGAGTCTTTATGCACATTGTGCTGGATGCGGAATCTTGGCTCATGAAGCAGCATCATTATGGCATTCCAAGTCCTAAAAGTCAAAACAGTGACAGTTCGTGATCACTTGTTCAACCAAATTGGCTTGAAAGTTGAAAAGCAGCTGCTTTTGAAGATAATTAGCTTGTCTGAATCAGCTGTGTTGCCAGGTTAGATCACATTGATTAATGTTGATTAATTCCACATCAATCCACCTTGTATGGGCCAATTTCTTTCGTCCATCCTAAACTCCGGGCATTTCTTTGAACAAAGAATGCCAGCGGATATCAAAACCTACAGACTGAGCGTGGCATGCTGCAGAGTGCAGCTCTGCTTTCAGCAATCCCAGCTGTCCTTGGAAGCTGTCAAGACGAGGCATGAGATTGAATCCCTGCTGTCTTGGGGGTCTTGACTTCAGCCCCTTGAAGCCGATGCAAGAAGGCAATCTCTGTGTTGGCTGAGAGACAGCTGAATTCGTAGGTTTCCCACCTGTCTCGGATCCAGTTGGGAAGGGCCAGAGGCTGAGTTCGAGGCAAATTTGGTTCTGTCTGATGCTCTCCGCCAACATGCATGATGTCAAAGCCGTCATATTTCCCAAAGACGGCCGGTGTGTGAACACCCCAACAGCTGCACCCAATGCAGAGTTTTGCTCAATGCAGTTGGCACATGTCTTGACGGTGGAGATTGACAGCTGTGTTTCTTGTGATCTACAGGCTGTGTCACTCTTTGCTGTTCACTCTCTGCTGATTGCATACGGTTTCACGGTTGCACTATATTGCATTGCATTCTGAAGCTGTTCCTCTCACAGCGCGTTGTTATTGCCTGGCCCCTGTGTGCTTGCCATGATTCGAATTTTGGCCCTCGCGGCTGTGGCCACTGCTGTGCCAGTGCCAACAACTAAATACGTGGTGAAGCTACGAAATGGTGTGGAGATGCCAATGATGGCAGCAGGCACTTGGCAGTACCCTGGAAAACTATGGTAGACTCCTGGTAGACCATGATAGAACATTGTTTCACTGTCACGGGAGGTTGCATTCCACAGGGCATCCTTTCAGAGTTGAAGCTGTTTCCAGCTCTGAATTTGGATTTGTTAGCCTCTGAGCCTCAGCCAAGGTACAATAGCTCAGAAGCGTACAGCTCCATTACTTCTGCCTTGAAAGCAGGATTTAGCATGGTTGATACAGCGTTGGACTACCACAATCAGGATCTTGTCCTATGATGTGCCATATGAGGTTTTCATGCACGGTCGCATACAGTCGCATTTTAATTTTACAGAGGCATTTTTCTAGTCACATATTTCACAATGGATGTTCAGATATTCAAGTGAGGAATCACTTCTCACTTCCATTAACATCATTAACTTCCACTTACGTTCATGAAACCCTACAGGATGGTGTCGGCAAGGCTATTGCAGATTCTGGTCACCCTCGCGAATCGATTTTTGTTGAAACCAAAGTGCCTGGCTGCGGCTTGGATCCGTCCATGAAAAACGTTTTTGATTGCTATGCTGGCACCAAGAAAGACCTCGAAACTGATTTGAAGTTGCTGAATCTCTCTTATGTGGACCTGGTGATTGTGCACTTTCCACCCATTTCCTCAATGATCACACGGTCTTGCAACAACTGGTCTGGAGGGTGCCAGATGGTCAGGGCCCAGTGGAAGGCAATGACCGAATTTTACACCGAGGGCAAGGCCCGAGCCATTGGCGTGTCGAACTACTGCCCCAGCTGCTACGAGTGCCTGGAGGCCATGGACAACTTGACGATGCCCATGGTCAACCAGGCAAGAAACCGCAAGAAACCTATCGACAAAGGATGAAATATGTAGGAATTTGATGGAATTTGTCCACATTGTGTCACATGGAGGCCGCAGACAAAAGAACTGTAGGAAGCCCTTCAAACAAAGGGGGGAAATGTATGCATTTCATGCAATTTAAAGGCAGCTCATGCTCTTTTAATGACCATTGTCTGATCATTCGTGCCTCATGGCAATTTGGTGCTGCCATGTGCTGCCCACCAGTTCGCAAGTTGACGCCTCCAGGTGCAGTTTCACTTGGGCATGGGCACCGATCCGAGCGGCTTTGTCTCCTACCACAGAGCCAAGGGTATCCAGCTGCAAGCATATTCAGTCTTGGCGAATTCCGTGACCCACCACGCTAGCCACTTGACTTGATGCTTGGGTAGACTTGCCGCAAAAGCGACATGCGGTTGTGCTTTCTTATCCCACTTCCAGATAGGTTCAGCGTTTGGGGATTTGGGGTTTGATTTGCGGCTGCTTGCCCCCATAGATTATCCCATAGTTGCTGCTGGTACATGTACTTGGTGGGAGCTCAGGTTCAGAGATCGTCAGTGGGAACCTCACCACCAGCATTGGAAAGGCTCACAACAAATCTGCGGTGCAGGTGGCCCTGAAGTGGGTTGTCTCCCAAGGCGCACCGATGTTGTGGAAGCGGTTGTGTTTGTAAATGGCCCTTGTGGCACCCTAAATAGGTCTCATGTGCGCTACAAGGGGTCGAGAATTCACAGCTTTCAGCTTACCGTATTTGGCAAGAGTGAGACTTTGGACTGTGGAGCACGTGTGATGAGTTTCGCTTTTCTATGTTCGGTTATATAGATAATGGTGTTTTTGGCTTTTTCTTCCTTCGGTTTCCTTCTCTTTGCCCATTCGTTGTGCCCAATTTGACGAGATTGCTGTGAGCTTTGACACCTTTGGGGCGCCAGGCATTCCAGCAGTCACGAAGTCATCCAATTTCGATCATTTGCAGCAAGACCTGGACCTTTTCTCCTGGAATTTCACTTCCCAGGACGCAAAGTTGGGGCTGGAGCAGGCTTTGTGATGCAGCTGACCCCTCAAGTATGGTGTAGTATGGTGTCATAGTCATATGAGTCATGATGTTTGGTGGGATTTATGGCATAATATGGTACGGTATAATGATGTCTATGCTTACCAGGCTCAAGAGCCATGAGGTGAGCTGGGACACCACTGCCAGCACTTCCCAATTTCCCATCATGTCCCACTGGCCAGCTATTGCCTGTTGCCGAGGAGAAGCAACTGCTGGACGCACATTCTACGCCAAAAGGATCCCCATCTTTCGCTTGTGCACGTGGTGAAGTGGCCGAGGTCCTCGTTTGAGGATTTTTGAGGTTTGTCCAGAGATGATCTGAGATTTTCGCCCTCTGCTGAGACCAGCACAGTGGAGCCCAGACACAGCAATGCCGGGAACTGGTGGAAAAGCTGCGGGTATAGGTGCAGTGATCATTCGCTTTGTGGCCGTCCAAAAGTCGGTCCAAAAGGCAGGATTAGGTGTAATTATGGTGCAATACATGATACCATTCTTTGGTTTGGTCTTCCCACGTTTCACGCAGCAAAGCTGTGATTTTGACGTCAATTGGCTGGCTCTTCTAGGATTAGAAAGTGAGTGGGTTCTATGGCTCCTTAGGTCTGGGATGCATCAGTTTCCTATGATGACGATCCGAAGGCATTGCTGCTTGCCATCATTTGCTGGTGTTGTGATTTGCCATTGACAGCCGGTTTCAGTTTTTAAAGCATGCTAGTCGCAATTCTGCTACATGAATGATTAATTCTGGATGGGCGGTATGAGTATGATGTTGACGTGAAGAATGTCCAGCCTGCTCAGTCCTTCAACTCTGCCATGCTTTGGGCAAAGCTGGGCCCTTACCTCGATTCATCCCAAGTGAATGGACAAGCAATCATGATGCTGCTTCCTTGGCTAAGACGCAAAAGTCAACACAAGGTGATGACATTCTAATTTTGCATGGAAAATATATGAACATATAAAAAATCAATGAACATCACATTTTTCATACTTTGATTGCCCTTTTGAGGCAATCATTTTTTGATCATCAGCGTCTCTTCGATGATTTTTCTGGTGCCTGTGCCAGGACACTGATCAGTCCACAGAGGGGGCCTTAGATCTCCTTGGGTTCTCAACGGAAGGGCTGCAAATTGTGCACAGCATGGGGGTCGCCCCGCGCACAGTTTACTGGAGCCAAGCAGCTCGCCCCAAGCCTCAGGAACCGCAGCTGCTTGGCCACGATGGTTGGACCGCTCGCATGGAAGAGGCTCACAGTGACGTCTCAGATGCACACACGTACAGAGATGCATCATGATATATAGGTATGGTCTGGTATGTATCTACAATAGGACATACGTATAGATACATGATGATACATGTCAATGTGTATTATATACATATATAGGATTGTATATGTGTATATTCGTTATGATACGAGATCTTACCATGCCATCATGAAGAGGACCTTCCACACTCAATCCAAGTCTTAAGGCCACTTTAGAAACGCTGCAGATTTCACCTGACTAGGCTTGGGAGTTGGACGAAGCGTGTCGTGCTCCTCACTGGGAAGGCGTGGTCATTGAAGTGGTCCTCGAACTGAGAAACTGATGGAAAATCATATGTAGGACGTGCATTATAATCAAACTGCATTAATCTCATGACAACAAATGACAACAACGGGTTCCATCTCCTGAAGATCCTTCAGTCTGTGGGATGATGGGAAGTGTGCCAACTTGCAGGTGGGATCTGGCAGCGTGCTGCGAGCGCAGCTGCCGCTTTTAAAGTCAGCAGATCTGGTGTTGTTGGTCACCTGGAAAGGCGGACTGTCGTGACATGTCGTGACAGTCGGAAGAGCCAATTGCTTAATGACTTGACAGAAAGATAGAAGGATATACAGTATATATGGAAAATTATGGAAATACGTCTGGATTTTTGATTATGGTTTGTTATGACGTTGCGTGACGCCGTGTCCTGTTGGGGAATCTTCTGCTGAAGTCCCAGATTGTGCGAAATACAATACATGTTTTTGAACTTTTGGGCCTCGAATTTAAAGAGGGAGAGAGCGAGACAGAGAGAGAGAGAGAGAGAGAGCGGAATGAAAATTTGGTGGTTCAGCAGGAGGAATTGAAGACGCTGAGCTCAGGGGAACTGAATTGCGACTGTGTCCGCCGTAGCCTCTGGTTCCGAGACGTAGATCCTGTCATCCCGTGTGGATGGTGTCAATGGCGGGCCCAGAGCAAAGCATACCCTACGAAAACTTGGAGGAGTATTTTGAAGAGCTGAGGAACCCACTATTTGAGAACACCATCAGAAGATTTTTCACAGACGTTTCCAAAGATTGCAATTGGTGCTTGATCGAGGCGCCTAAAGAGGGAACCCCAACAAGCAGAGATATGTATGCCAAGCGCTTTCAAGATGCATCGAAATTTGTATTCGAACTCCTCAGTGCCTTCGGAATTTCGCCAGTGTGTAACGTTTGTCCTGGACAAGATGGCAGGGCTGGCTATGTACTTCACGTGTGTGGCGTAAACCACTTCAAATATCTGGCGGAGAAACTGTCCAAGGACAGAGTCAGGTGCAAAGACAGCAAGGAGTTACAGAGGCAGTATGAGCACTCTTGGACCTTTGTCTTAGGACAAGTGATCATCAACTACCTCACTGGCGAGGTGAGAGTGAAACGGCGGCCTTCATTTATAGGAATCCAAGTCCGCAAAGCACAGGACCTTCCAACAATAGGCCGGGCAGTGTCAAAACTATGGCTCGGGATGGACATGGATGGACTAACTGAATCATTGGTAGTGTCTTCTGTGAGAACAGGTAGGCTTATCACAAGGGTGTTCATCACAAGGGTGTTCATCAGCACCATCACTACTGTAAGTGGTCCCATCTGAGCAGCGTTCTAAATTCTCCTTTATATAATATATATATATATGTTTAGTATTGTGCTAGCATAAATTCCATCTAGTCGTAAGACTTTCCTTGGGTTTTGTAAGCAGTGCGAAAGGTTTGACGCAAACACAATCTCCAGCAAACTCCATCACCATGAACAGTTTATTTCAGTCATTCGGCAGAGATTTGAATTTCTTGATTATTTTGGACTAATGCAGCCAACCCTGCAGAAGAATGGTACTGCGTGGGTACCCAACTCGCTTGCCCAATGAATGATGATCTGCAGTGGGAGCATTGGACGGACAAATGGCCTACAACCAATGGAGGCAAACCGCGTTGGAGGACTGTGATCAAAAAGTCTGCTGAACGCTTGGTGGAGCTTCTTGAAGCCCATGGCATCAGTGAGCATTCATGCCAGATTTGTCCCAATCAGCATGGCATGTGGGCCAATCACCTTGGAGGTCCGAAGCACTATAGCCATTTGTACAACGGTCCCAACCTTGAAAATTCTACGCAGCAGCGGTATCAGACTTGGGACCTTCCAGATGTATGTGGCGTTGGCATTGTCGGAAGGCTGGGCTGATTAAGATTGGTTCAACATGGCCCCAGCCCAGACGTTTGCCCGTGGAAGCAAAGATAAGCATACATGCCGAAGTATGGATGCGCGGAATTTCCGATGCGAAAGAACTTTTCTTTTAGCTTTATACAATTTATACAAGTCATTATAGTCGTCATTGATTTATGATTATTTGAGCGATTTAAGGGATTGAATTTAGGATTCAGAGTTCAAGGTTTCACGGCAAAGTTTTTGCCTTTCAGGTCATAGACCCACAAAAAATAACATCATGCCGTCATGCCGAGATATACCGAGTCAAGTGTTTCACCAAACAATTCGTTTTGATATTCTCAATGCTTAATGCAATGCGGAATCCTCAAACCAGATAAGGTATGGGTCAAAATTTAAGTCCCAGGGGGCCAGGGGACCACATAATCAGATGTGTAAAAGCGCATATCTGCCCACAGGTTGATGTTCGACCACATTAGCGGCATGATCCTGATGATTCGGAGCCAGGGGAGGCTGAGACATGAAGTTAATTATCCGTTGGCAAGAGGTTCAGAGATCATTGTCCACTACTCAGTTCAGGCCTCTCTGTATGCACAACGCTGCCAGTGGAACCTGCGTCCCACCCACCACCCATCCACACACCCCCACACACAAACACAAACACAAACACAAACACACGCGCGCGCAGACACACACACACACAGACACAGACAGAGACACGCACACACAGAGACATCACAAAGACACACAGTCACATGCAATGGATTGGAATGATCATCAAACTCTCAAGATTTTCTCCAGCAGTTGGACAGAGTGCATCACTGCATACCCAAACCAAGAATAGTAGCTATGCATAGTCCAACCTGCCTAAACCTTACCCGCATACTCGGCACATTTAAACATAAAGTCCAACCCTGCAGGACAGCAATCACAGAGAGCGACAGCATCCTACAGAGCCCAATGTGACGGAACAACCACAAAGTGCCACTTGCGGCCATCCCCAAAGTCAAATGCCGCCAGACCCTTCAAATATGCAGAATGGCATGCAATCAGGTGTTGGACAGCCGATGTTTGCACAAGCTGCTGGCAGCCCATTTGGTGGGCAACCTCAAGGGCAAATGCCGCCAGACCCTGCAACTATGCAGCATGGCATGCAACAGGGTGTTGGACAGCCAACATTCACACAAGCTGCTGGCAGTGCATTTGGCGGGCAACCTCAAGGGCAAATGCCAGGGCAAATGCCAGTGGACCCGACCATGCTGAATATCATGCAACAGGGTGTTGGACAGCCAACATTCACACAAGCTGCTGGCAGTGCATTTGGCGGGCAACCTCAAGGGCAAATGCCAGGGCAAATGCCAGTGGACCCGACCATGCTGAATGGCATGCAACAAGGTGTTGGACAGCCAACATTCACACAAGCTGCTGGCAGCCCATTTGGCGGGCAACCGCAAGGGCAAATGCCAGTGGACCCGACCATGCTGAATGGCATGCAACAGGGTGTTGGACAGCCAACATTCACACAAGCTGCTGGCAGCCCATTTGGCGGGCAACCGCAAGGGCAAATGCCAGTGGACCCGACCATGCTGAATGGCATGCAACAGGGTGTTGGACAGCCAACATTCACACAAGCTGCTGGCAGTGCATTTGGCGGGCAACCTCAAGGGCAAATGCCAGGGCAAATGCCAGGGCAAATGCCAGTGGACCCGACCATGCTGAATGGCATGCAACAGGGTGTTGGACAGCCAACATTCACACAAGCCGCCGGCAGCCCATTTGGTGGGCAACCTCAAAGGCAAATGCCGCCAGACCCTGCAACTATGCAGCATGGCATGCAACAGGGTGTTGGACAGCCAACATTCACACAAGCTGCTGGCAGTGCATTTGGCGGGCAACCTCAAGGGCAAATGCCAGTGGACCCGACCATGCTGAATGGCATGCAACAGGGTGTTGGACAGCCAACATTCACACAAGCTGCTGGCAGCCCATTTGGTGGGCAACCTCAAGGGCAAATGCCGCCAGACCCTGCAACTATGCATCATGGCATGCAACAGGGTGTTGGACAGCCAACATTCACACAAGCTGCTGGCAGTGCATTTGGCGGGCAACCACAACATCCAGTGGCAGACGTAGGAAGGGTGCGTACCGAATCGGATCATTTCCCATCATCATCAGGAGCTCCATCTGAATATTCAAGTGATGTGGCCACCGCTGCAGCTACGGAGAGATATTCCGAGCTCATGAGAGCATTTCAGGCAAAGCAACCAGGAAGCCTGTATGAGGTGTACACCGACCCAATGACAGGGAAACCATGGTGGTATGACCTTGTCACAGGTGAGGCTGTTCATTCTTGCCCTATTGGCATCATCCTCAGGGATTGCAGCTCGAGTTAAAAAGAGAAAGCAACATGGGGTCAGGGTTCTGACATGTTCTGGCTGATGTCAGGCATGTATACGTGTGCTTAGCGTGCTTGCAAGTGCTAGCATAGGCGTTGATGGTGTTGGAAATGCTCAGATCTGAAATGCTGCAGCACGCGAGCTTACCCTCCGGTAGGTGAGCTGGTAGCTGACCATTGGGCCGGATTCACTTTGTTGGAGGTTGACACGGTCTCAGAACTGAACTTAGTTGGCCATGGGCTATCCATGCCAGATGCAGGGCCACAAGATGGAACGGGAGATTGTAAGTAGATATGTATCCTAGGTTCAACATATGTTGAATTATCGTGACGCTAACGGAAGCAGTTTCCTGTCTCCATGTACTGTATCAGGTTTCATGATGCATAGCATCCGAAGCTGCCGCAGTGTCTAGCTGTAGTTGGACTTCTTCGTTTTCTCCATGTTTTTGCTCGTGAAACTGCAGCCTTTGGCCCAAGCATGAGGATCATGAGGGGACATGCATCAGATTGGAATGCAATTCTGCTAGGGCCAAGATTCCAGCTGAGCGGTGCAAAGCAAGGTTTGTCTTTGACTAATTACTACAATGGTGTTCCCAGGCAGATGACAGTGAGAACAACGCAATGCTTGATTTCATGGTCCGTGAACGCCGTCAACTTGTAGTTCTTCATTTGTTTCTATCGTTTTCCATTGCTTTTCTTCTAGCAATGTCAAGACCAGCATCATCAGATTGTGACCTATGTCTAGCCAAAAACTTCGAGCTTTTCGGGCACCCGATGGCCTTCAAACCCTTGGCCGTTTTTTGCCTGGCTTTGCCAACCTGGACGTGGAACACATGGAACCATGGTGCGTCTCAGAGCTTTGTCAACCCGCGTCCCAAGCTGCCTGTTGGACCTGTCCCACCCGTTAGACATGTTGGACCTGCGAGTGCTGTGTTTCGCAACTCCACGTGGTCAGCTCGGTCAGTGGGATTTGGGACGGTGCGCTTCGCAAACAGCGCAGTACTGCTGGTGGTGGCAGTCTTCCTTGTGGCTTTGAAGAAGCCGGCCGTGTCTGCATGGGTTGGCTTTGTGATGCATGCGCTCACTACGGGCATCATGCGAGGATTTCCCTGTCCTATCAAGATTCCAGTGAGCTTCAGGCGTGAAGCTAGGTCCAGCTTAGCAAAATCATATATTGCCCAAGCAATTCTGCTGTCTTTGGTGCTTACAAGTCAAAGCCCAACCTCTGCGATGGTCTCCAAATATTTATTATTTGCGCTGATCTTTGTTACAAGCATATTCTTCGATTGGCCCGATCCTCCGCTGCTGGATCAAGCACCTGCCTTGGTCTTCCCTGGTGCCCCGGGGTGATGGACGTGTTGCCTTTGCTGAATCAAGAAAACTAAATCTTTCAAGCCTTTCAACTATGGCACCACTTCATCTGTGTCCTTCTTTCTGTGTAGATGTTCGACGGGGTTGGAGGATTTTAGTTGCAGCTCTAGCATCGGCAAGCGCCTGAACATCAACATATTCTAATTGCTGGCCATGCTGCCCTGCAGGTGCCATCCCAACGAAGAGCGAAGAGGCGGAGTCAGGCACACCACATCCACCCCTCGCACAACTCAAGTCTAACAAAGGTGTGATAGATTGGTAATTGTGCTTGCGATTGGGAATGCTATGCTGAGTTTGAATGTCAGAGTCCTGCACAACAACCTTTCACTATTTCAGAATATTTCGGACATGTTGTTGGTCCGGAGTGGTCCGGAGTGGTCCGGAGTGGACTGTGGTGCTTTCCAACATGCTCGGAACGCCTCCAATTTCTGGTGCTGAAAGGCGATGACCGTTCTGCCTCCAGCAAGTTCATCATGCGCTTGGTAGGCATCCTGTTGCTTACCAAGAATCTTGGCAGAGAACCACACACCACATCCTCCCATTACATTTTGCGTTGGTGAAGTAAATCTGTTTGTGAACAGTGGTCTTGGCACACAGGCACACAACCGTTTAGACAGCCCAAACATGATGAACATGTGATTTCTCACTGAAGATCTCTGATTAGACCCTGTGTTACAAGTGTTTGAGGCTCCTTTCCAGTCAGACCCGCGAGTCTGCACTGTCGTGGGGTGCAGCGTTCTTTGCACATTGTTTGGTCATTTACTTGGCCGCGAGCAGAACAAAGAGGCGGTGATCGCGATCCACTGATTCATTCTGGGCCAGTTCATATCCGGATCATTCTGTAAATAGTTTTTCAGTATAGTATATATCCGTATATATCCACTGTTCATATCCGTATAGTTTTTCAGTTTCCAGTGGCTTCCACGTGTCTCTTCTGCAGTCCAAGCCGAACCCGAAAATCGCAAGCCGTCACAAGGTGCGGCCAAACCCCCATCGGCCAAATGTGGAAAAACAGTCGCCTCACAGCATCTCACAGCATGTGACAGCTGCACATCAACATGGGTAAGGTAAGTATATTAAATATATTGAATAAATAAATAAATAAATATATATATATATATATTATAATTCAGATTAAATATTAATTTTCATTATAATTAGTAAACAGATAGTGTATAATAGTAATAATCTATAATAATCCTGTAAAATTCCAGAAAATCTCACTTTGTTCACCTGGCATTCACCACTTTGATTGGATTCTATTGGGATCTCTTGGGTTTGATCGGGGCATTTTATGGTCAGCCGAGGTAGACCCGAGGCTCAGTTCATCGGAACCTCAGGAGATGGGGAGGATGGCCGCCTATGATTCAAATGGCCACCAAGATGTGGAAGATGTGGGAACATATGATAATGTAAAAAAATATGATACTGTAAAAAAATATGGTAACTAATATATTGATAACATATATTGAATAGATAACATATGATAACATATGATAATATATCTTGATAACATATGATAACATATGATAACCTTTGGCTTTTAACTTGAAACTTCCTTTCACAATTTATGGCACAATAAATGACACGATTTTTTTTCTTTCCATCACTATGGCCGTCTCCACGACCTGAAGGATACGCTGCTTCGTGCTGGCCTTGAGTTTGTTGGCGTCTGAGTTGCAGCTTGGACACCGATGCATGAGCGATGCATGCGCCGCATTCCAATTTTTGCAGAGGTGCAGGGTTTAGCACCGGTCGCCGCAGATGTGTCTTTGCCTAAGTCGATTGAAGTACATTGTGAAGTGAAAACAATATAAACCAAGGAGAATCTTTGAGAGTAGCTAATAATGGGTGTACATGACCTAGCACATAGGATGAACATCTCAAAACTAGATCATAGATCCACAATACTGTAGCGAATTAGATAAACTAATCACCAATAAACACACACACATGTGTAGTAAATATGCATTTTGTCTTTGGAACATGTGATTTCACAACCGAGTCGTTACACGTTTCGTTGATCGTTAGATGGACTCTGGCCGTGCCGAGGCTTGTCATCAAAAGTCGGCCAGATGCTTTGCTTCCAGAGGTAGCACGTCTGCACCCATAATGATTTGTATAGGTGTTGGTTGTTTGGCTTGATCAAAGATGGATGGATGGATGGATGGATGGATGGATGGATGGATGGATGGATGGATGGATGGATGGATGGATGGATGGATGGATGGATGGATGGATGGATGGATGGATGGATGGATGGATGGATGGATGGATGGATGGATGGATGGATGGATGGATGGATGGATGGATGGATGGATGGATGGATGGATGGATGGATGGATGGATGGATGGATGGAGGGATGGATGGATGGATGGATGGATGGATGGATGGATGGATGGATGGATGGATGGATGGATGGATGGATGGATGGATGGATGGATGGATGGATGGATATATCTAATTGGAATGAGATAAATATAAATTGAATGTTCTCTGTAGATGTTTAGTGTATACGATTTTTCTCTCTCACGCTCTCTTGAAATTGTGCATCCTGCAACATGCCTTGAAAGGGCCTGGTGGAGCATATCTTTGAGCTGGACTACAGTTTGCCGCCACCAGCTTGGGAGCTTGTTTGAACTTGAGTAACTTGAGTTGCCTCTACTCGTGCCAGAGGGATTTTGCGACAAGCTGTAGACAAATACACAAAGCGTTGTGGCGGAATGGATGTTTGGATGTTTAGGGATGCGAGTTGTGCTGGTTTTGACTGCGCTAACTTTTGCATGGCTTGTCACTCTCACTTTGATGATCATCCTTCCGAAGCTGTTTCCAGCATGGACTGCAAGGGGATTCCAAACATCGTGTCAAGGCATCAGGCCTCCATAAAAAACAGGTGCAAATCTGGAGCATGAGCATGTTCCCCCGGCTGTGGCTTGGAATTGAGCTTGGATGAACTAGTTCATTCCTTAGAAAGTAATGAGTTAGCGTGATAGCATCATTGGCATTTCATTTGTTGTGAAAGGCTGTTCTCGCTTACATGAAACTGTGTCATACTTTCAGGAAGACATGGAACTGAGGGCGGAGGCTATGCCTCTTCCACCATGAAAGTTTCAGTGCGGGACGGGTACAATGCGAGACGGGTCCAATGACAATATTTTACTCCGATTGAGGCTCTGTAGACCTCCCAAGTGCTCTTGAAAAGCCATGAGTGGAGCGAACAGATATCGTGTGCGGGCGCGGAGCTTGACAAGTATGCCCGAAGACGCAGCTGACAGTTTGACAGGCCAGTTCAGATGGGTCTTTTTCTTTCTTTTTGCCTTCATAATCTTCATATGCTTGCGCGTTTGGACGCTGGTGCATCCCAAGAGGATTCGACTTATTGCATCTTCTATTGCCTTCTAGCCTTGGCCAGTCCTTCCTGTCATGTTCGAAACGGAGACCTTTGGGCAAGAAGCAGCGAAAAAGAAAAAGCCCTGGTTCTGCTTTCCGTGCTGGACTGAGGATGACAAGGCACAGCTGGAGACGTTTTTGGTCAGAAAGTGTCATGGCAGTTCATGTCAGTTTATGTCACTTAATTGTCATATTAGTATATTAATATATTAGTCATGTTGTCATTATGTGAATCCTCATGTGGATGCCTTGGACAGGACCTGACCACCTGGAGCCTCTCGGATGCCGAGCGAGGAAAGGCACGACAATGCTTGGAACAGGCACGGCAAGCCGGGCAAGCCGGTGAAGGACATCGACCTTGCATGTGCTTTATTCGCCAGGACTGGGTGAGGGATCGTCCCGCCACACCTCAACAATACTCAACATTTGTACTTCGCTTCCACTGACTTGCCTACTGTACAGGGCATTATACTTAATTATCATGTTTTGATGCGTGTCTGCCCACCTGCAGGACATTCTCACCGGCAAGTGGGCACACTTTCAGCTGGGCACTGGGAATGAGAAGAAGCCTCGCCAAACCGAAAGCAAGAGCAAACAAGTCGCCATGAGGCTCGTTCTGAAAGCTGAATGATCTGAATGGGAATGAAGCTTTGCTCCAAATTCGAACTGTGGTAGGCCAATCCACGAGGAGCCAGAACAGTTGGATGGCTGTCCCTTCTGTGCCTGCCACGTGCCTGAAGCTGCTGATGTCTTGCGATTTGAGCGGCTTAGCTGCAAACTGAGCACAGTGGGTGTACTAACGTGGTCTAACGTGGTCCAACGCGTGCTCTGGAGATTGAAGGTGTCAGGTTTGGAGATCATGATCAGAGCAAAGTGAGATTTTGCACCATTGTTTGGCTGCTTTTCCGATGTCAGCTGGGGCATTTGGGGCCATCAGTCTGGGCTCAAAGTGCAGCACGGACCTACCCTCCAGCTATGTTTGTTGATGATATTGTACATGGTACTCGTACTGTAGTATCCAAGCAGGGCTAAGGATCGCATCAAAAGGTCATATCATATGATGTCCTGTATACTTGTATGAAAGTGGACGATGTCTATGATTTGTCTATCCGTGCGCCTCAAAGACTGCATTCATACGCACTTGATTAAGGAATACGGAATACACACGAAGCACATCTTAGTTTGAGTTATTTTGACAGCGGCAGCCATGGAGACCAAACTGCGCGTGGTTCTGGCAAACTTGGCTGGTGATGAGCTGTGCAGAGTGGATGTCCCAGCCAGTAGTAAAGCTGCGCAGCTCAAGGATTTATTGGCCCGAGAACTGGGGATGTATCCCTACACCTTCAAAGTCATCACAGCCTGTGGCGTGCCGGTGGAAGGTAATGGCCTTGTTAAACACTTGGCTGAAGACGGGCAAATTGATTTGACCATGGTGAAGATTGATGGTATTCCACATCCAGATTCGAAGGGCTATGTTCGGCTCCAAGCAGATACAGATGAGCCGGTATCTGAGAGTCCATCAACTTTTTGGCGCGTGGCCGTTCCCGTGTCAAGTTTTATGCTGGCGCTGGCATCTGTCATTCACATGTTGAAGCTTTGGCCATGTTTCCGACAAAGAGGGAAGTTGGGCAGAAAGGATCGGAGATTCTTGTCCTTTATTGCTTATATTTTGTATTTGTTGGAGGCCTTGCTCTTGAACCGAACGGCCAAGGGGCTGAAGATGTTGAAGCACACTGAGGGCATCCTGGACTACATTCAGAAGATCAAGGCTTGCAGGCCAGCTCCTGAAGTGCGCGCCCAGTGCTACCACATGGAGACTCGGACTTCCACAGTCGTTGATGAAGATGGCACGATACACACGGAATCCTATGAGGTTCGTGTGGCCACTGCAAGTTTGACGGAACAACTGAAGGTTTCACGATGGGAAGATGTCACGGGCGATGTTGCCTACGGTCTACGCTACTTTCCCTTGTTGCAGGTCCACTTTGAAGTGAGTTGGGAAGTCGGTGACTGGGCCACCAGCCATGAGCACGAAGAACAGCGTCACGCCTTGAGCCGCCGGGCGCAGGCGGCGGATCAGCACCACGACACTTCCGAGGTGTTGCGTTTGGTGGAGGAAGATGGACAAGAAGTCAGCTTTCGCAGTGATATGATCGGAACCACTGGGGGTTCATCTCCGAGGTGGTTGGGGTTTATCCCCTATGCCATTTGCACCTTTTTGGGTTTCAGTTGGCCCTATCGGTACTGGTTGTCAAGGCAGGCCATCAAGGGCGATGTGATTTTTCGAAAGAAGGTCTGGTCCACGATGTAAGCCGGACACAGGGCAGAGAGATATAGCGGCCAGTGTAGAATTTGCTCTGCCCAAACTGGCACTCCAGCTGGTCCCGGGAAGACCGAAATGCCATGCGGTGTCCAAAGGTGATGCCGTACGCAACTCTCTGCAAAAAGCCTCGAATCATGTGTTGCTTCGAAAGTGGTGTCCAGTTGAGCATATTCGGCCTATTTGCTGTTCCTTTTCTTGGCCACCTGAAAGCCACAGATCTTGGATTGACATGGCACTTCCATGCCCCATTGCCATTTTGATGTTTATTTCGTGCCTTGTGGTTTGTATTCTAGCATTTACTTGCGACCATGGCTAAGGAAGATTCAGGGCGAGGCGCGACGGGATTCTCCGGGTGGAAAGTCGATGTAAGCTTGTCATTGCTTGTAAAAGGCCAAATTCATCGCATGGATTTGAAAAAAATCCAGTATTACTTTGAGTATAACAGCATGTGAGCTATACCTGAGAGTGGTGCAGTGTCCTTTTTCTCATGAGGCTGAGACGGGGGGCACCGAGACCATATTGTTGGCGAACTTCTGGAAGGCCAGCTGGACTGTCTCCACTTCCCCAGTTTGCTGTTGAAAAGACAAGACAACCTTCTGCATGTGAAACAGCTCCAAGGTTCAGAAAGCCTAGTGGATTCTAGTGGATCTATGTGGATGATGTGGCCGTTTCTTGAAAGGGCCAACACCTGACACGACCCCTGTGATGACTTTGGGAGTGCAGCTTGCTTGGCCCGTCCAGTACGACGCCTACGAAACCGTGACGACCGGGCATCAGTTGAAAACCGACTGGTCCCGAGCCAACGGCAGACCGTGGCAAGTGCGGGTTGTTGCTTGGCACCGGGCGCATTGAGGTGGATATACGATGATATAGGTGGATGATGGTAGATGTCTTCTACGGCTGTTAAGAATTTTGGGGCCTCAAGCCAGGAGCCACAAGAAACCGATAAGAATATTGCGTTGCAGATTGGTTTTGCCGTTTGGTCAAGAACTGAAACGGTCCTTTTTGAAACATCGCATCAGCATGCATCAACGAAGAATATCACATGAAGGTCATTGAAGGTCTTATTCAAGTGCTAAGTAATTATACTATGAAAGTGGAGACAGCATGCTGCCCGGAAACATGCGCTACCATGCACTTCCTGTGAAATAGATAAGTAAGTGCAAAAAGACGCAGCAAGATAGGTCCATATGTAGCAGAACTATTTGAGAAGGCGATGGGGAGAGATAGAGATAGCTATGTAATGTTATGTAGCTTATGCCAACAGTTGGCTTGCACTGATTTCCATTGTGTTTACTCATGGGACTGTGCCTCCCATTTCTTCACTTTCCTTGCGCCTTCAGTATCTTCAGTTTGCCGTTCACGCCATGAGGTGCGCAATATTTTTCCAAGCATGAGCGTCCCCCGGGAGTACTACTTCGATGGCTGCGATGATGGCTTCCTGGATGATCGAGGTGGCAACATGATCAACCCCCGAGTCGGGCACCCTTTGTATTTGCAGGCGGGGGCCTGAGCTCAATATGCTCAATGGACGGCATCACTGTGGCATCACATGGGCATCACATCACCACAGGTGCCTGGTGTGGGCTTCAATGATGTCGTCATCGAAACTCCGTTGCACAATATGTGTGCGGCACTTGAGCAGGAAGAGTGCCTTGGATACGAAAGCAAAGAACTTCACGTTTAAAGTTCTTGTGTAGTGGCTTGAAACAAAGTGAATGATGTTGCAATGTTGCTCGCACACTGCGCCATTGACCTCAAATAAATTTGATTACTCTTGATGTGCATCCGCATTTATACAATTTTATACATATTCAATCATATTCAATGTTTGAACGATGCATGTCATAGGAGATCATAGGAGTTTGTTTTAAGCTGTACCGGCAGTGGTTGCGGTGGGAACCTCCAAAGGTGCATTGGCCTTACCCTGCGAGCAATTGTGATCCGGGGCCGTGAGCTTCTAGCAAATCCGCTGGTCGGGTACGTCACTGCGCCTTGGTTGGATGGGCTCCGTCCAGATCCAACAGATCCAACATGACAAGACGAGACAAGAATGGCTCTTGACCGTCTTTCATCCGTCTTTCATCCGTCTTTCATCCGATGTGAGGTGTTTAAGCAGCACAAATGCGGAAGCATTGTGCATGCGCACTGGCAAATCATCACCACACCTTTTGTCCCCAGCTCGGTAGATGTGGGGGTGCCCAGTTCCAGCAGACTATCGGAAGGCATCGCTTCAGTCCTGATGGCTTTCACAGTCATGATAAGTTAAGAAGTTCAGTTGGTCATGATTTTGGAAGCCCATTTTTGTGAGGCGTATGGATCGACCACATCATCGAATCAGAAGATCTAAAGTCAGTAGATGTCCGAAAATAGATGAAACATGATGAAAATAGATCCTTGACAATGATATAGGGATGCAATATTATTATATTGTATGCATCTATGTGCATGGCATGAGAAGTTCCAGCCTCGTTGAACATCATGGAAGGTGCAGCTAATTAGAGCAGCACGGCTACAGCAGCGCTTCGGACTATGTGTTGGCTGCCAAGTGCTGGTTTCGGCACCAACGGGCGTAGCTTGACTGCGTAGCCGTGAAAAGCCATGCTCTCAAACTACTTTTAGTTCCACAAGTTGGGTGGTGTCATGATTACGTACTGCCTGATTTCAAATTTGGATTTCCTGCTTGCCATGACTGTCTGGCATTTTGGCGCTCAGAGCGACCTGGCCTCCGAGCGTTTGGTGTTGGAGACCGCGCACTTCGTGGTGTCAGCACCTTTCGCTTGTCGTGAGCGCTGGCGTCTTTACTTGGCTCCCAAAAGGCATTCACCCGATGCCCGGCCTGCGACTATGATGGCTGTGTTTCCATCCCTCTGTTGTGTTTTCCACATTGTGTGAAGCCATTGACGTTGGTTTGCTTGGTCTTCCGGTCTTCCCTTGTTCTGGCCTCTGGTGTGATCATTGGCAGTATGGGCAGTGCTCAGGACTTTTTTCAAATTTCCGTGATGGAACTGGAGGATTTGGCCCATGTCCTCAAGAGAGTCCTCCAAATGTGTCTTGGCTCACTATTTCCCACACTCTGTAGGTGTCAACAGCGCTTGCACATGCTTGCACAAGGAAGCAAGGGCTGACCATGTGTGAGTAGGCCGGCCACACATTTCCAGAGCCTCGCATTTGTTGCCACGGCCAGGTACTATTTCAAATTGAATGATTGCCCCTTCAACATTGCCGTGTGGACAAGACCCAGTGTTGAAACGCATCGCGACAGCTGGTTTGGAAGCTTCAGGCGCCAGCGATGCTTGAAGTAGGGGAGTTGGGTCAGGGCAATGCTACAGTGGTGAAATTGGGGTCCTGCCTCGCAAGATTTCCTTTGGCATTTATGTTTGAGAAAGCTTTTGTTGTCTGATAAAATCTGATTATTGAACATACAGTTGTTGGAAAGGCCTGGCCATCGAGCCGAAAGCAGCATCTTGGCACATCTTGGCAGACGATCAGTTTCACACCTGTCTCAGAGCACCGGCTGTCATGAGCGTTGGCAGGTCAGTGGGGGTTGTGGAAACGGTTTGGCGATCACAAATATATTTGTTCAACAACCTGAGATTGGAACCCGGCTACTGTACCCGTTCCTACGATTTATATACTGTCAGGATACCGACAAAGTTTTCGCAGTGGTTGGGCTAGGTTGGGCACAATCTAGTCTCATGAGATCTCATGAGTGTTTGAGCTCTTTCGAGGCTATAACTACTTCCATTGGTACATTGGCTTCTATCCACGGGGCAAAGCTGTCCCGCAGGGCTTCAAGAATGCCACAGCAGCTGGTTGCATGAAGACCTCCCGGACTGGTGGCGGACTATTGAATCAATTGAACTAACATAAGATTCGCGTGGATCTTTTACAATCTTTTGCATGCATAACAAAGGGGGACACCTTTACACGGATGCATCACGGATGCGCGCCTCGCGGCGCTTCCAAGGACATAGCGCCAATGAAGACCCTTCCAGATGCTTGCCGCAAGCATTGCCTGGACTATCCTGGATTCTGTGACAGTGGAATTTTCAAACTGAACCAGAGATGAATTTAGGAGCAAATTCGCTGTGTGTTATAGTAAAGTTACATAAGAAAAGATCGATTTACAGAATTCTTCCATCATTGTGATTAGAGTGATTCTCCTATCTTCTGTGATCATTCCATTTCCTCCTCCTGTAGAGGTGTGAACAAAACATCTTGATGCATACTGTGCATATGCATGTACACTGCATTGTGATAGATATCAGTAAATAAATAAATAAATAAATACGCACACACACAGATATATATATATATATAATCGAGTCATATTGACATACACACCCGCACGAGATATAGTAAAACAACATAGGTACATAGGATTACTTGCATGAGACGAATGGCAGTCGAAAAACATAGAAAACCACTTCAGTGCACATGAGTGTGGATGATTTTTCGTACAACAAACGTGTGCCATTGTTGTCCTGGTTGCACTGCGTGGATGCCAGAGATCCTCACAGGAAGACGACGCTGCCATCATGCGGCAGTGGCTGACCGAACTGGTCTGCATCACAGGGGGGTTGAGTGGCAATATGTTGCATGAGTGGCAATATGTTGCAATCAAAGAAATAGTCTGCAAATCTGGTTTCTGGAATGTATTCTTTTGTCATCAAAGTTTTTCTGAATTGGTCGAAGGGAAATTCCACAGGAAACATCTATAATTCATCTATGATTGGGATTGTTTGGGGGTCAAAACATGGTTTCCTGTAGATGTTCTCTAGACCAGTCCATTGAGATTTTGTATATCTATGTTGTTTTGGCATGTTGTGGCAAAGAATACGTTAAACAATGTTAAACACACTCTGCACACTCTTACACAATCTTACACACTGATGCGCAGTCTTTGCAACACCTATACTAAGCCTGTTTACTGTCAGCGCAGTTTTCAGAGATATTTTGAACGAGACTTTGCCCGATTCGCCAAAGGCTGAAGAGTCTTCTCCGTCAAGCTGAGTGGACGGTCCGTTGATTCGTGTTTTCAAACCAACCAAAGGGCTCTGCAAAGGTAGTGCCAATGTTGCTTTGTATAGGACTAGGTGACTAGGTGACTAGGACACCATAGGATATCTTTAGCTGGCTGTAGCCATCCTTGAGAAAATGGGATTCAACTTGTTCGCAGCATGGGATGGTCAGAGTCAGATCGGCGGCCATCGGTTGGTTTCATCGCGCTGTTGGACTGTGACCGTTTCTAAGGCCAGAGGTACTGGGACGGTTCGTCACCTCAGGGATGGAAAGTTGAGAAGCAGGGGACACAGGGGCAACAGTTGGGCTGGCGTTGAGGCCATTTCTACGGCGCATTTGGGTCCCATGGATTGATGCCCCTTGGCACAACTTGTGGTCCTTGTGCAGTGTGATCAGTGGAGTGATGTGGAGTGGTGGAGACATCGAGAGAGATCCATCGAGGGAGTGTGCTGACTGTGGAGTCCAGTAGCCATTCGCTGAAACCGTACTTGCAACATTCTCTTTTACTTTGTGTTCATCCATGCAGCTCCAGGCGCTGATGCCATTCTACATCGCAGATGATTCTAGGTTGCACGTGTGGAGTGGTGCACTTATGCATGGCATTTGGATCTCTGTGTGTCTTTGAGGGTCGGGAGCAAGACCCAAAGCCTGCTAGATTGACAATGACAAATGGTGGACTGAGCTGTGAATACTTTGCAGCGTGAGGACGTTTTTGCTGGAAGCTTGTCTGATTTGCGTTTGCCCTTCATGTGTTGCGCCGACTTGCTGGCTTGAAAGTGCGAGAGGGATGGTTTCTTTGGCATGCACCTCCAAAGTTACACAAGTTACTTCCAAATCAAGAGATGAAACATGGTGAATGGCTAGCTAGTGCTACATAGTGCTACTAGAGTGCCGGTGAAGGACCTGTTTGTGCACCTCTGACAGGCTAGAACTTGTACGGTCCGTAACTTCAGATTTCGCCTGTCTTGTCATCAACTCTTTCGGGGCGATGTGACACGATGCCAGGCCAGCTACGGTGGCCATGGAATGCGGTGCGCCCTGTCAAGAGCCGCTCGTTCCGGAAGCACCGCTGCTGATCGGCTGCTGTTTTTATTTCCAATCCAAGGCACCATGGGGCGAACTGCAGTCCACGTACATCGATGGCTTGTGGCATCCTCAACCTATTGGAGCCACCTTCAAGAGATGCTGTAGTATAGTTGCGACTTGTAACTTCTTTGGCATGGACAAGATGAGCAACTTAACTTTAGTCACCCTCCGAATCTAGGAGTAAAGTGCTTTGTTTGATTAGGACTTACTAGTACTGGCGCTAGCCTGCTAAAGCTTATTTCAGGAAATGGGAAATCTTAGACTTTGCAATTCTGGTTCTCCTGAGCTGAGCTCCTGGTCACCGCATCACCACACATATCCACACATGCACTCGTTGTCTCGCTTCGCAATGCTTTGCCATCAGTCAGCTCTGTTACTTTGAGGCGCCTTTTCTGCAGTGGTATCCCTTCCTCTTTGCTTTCAGGTGGGTGGCCAAACCGGTCAAACCTTCAAGAAACAAAGCCAGATACTGCCATGCATGGACCTTTGATTCAACTCTTTCAGGCGAAATTTGCTGCGGACTCAGGTGTTCATGTCTTTAGGATTTAGAATTGCTGGAGGCAGCCACAGACCACAGGCAATCAAAACGAGAATCACACTGAGATCATGCTAATATAATATCTTGTCTGCAATTTGTATAATAGTTCAATAGTTACTAACGGGTCAAACGGTCTTTGTGGCAGCGTTTGGCAGCCTGTGGGCTCAGATATGACCTGACGGATAAGCTGGTGGAGCGGGTGCCGGTTGGCGCTCAACGCCAGGTACTGATGGTTCGGCCGCAAATATTGGACTGAGGTTCTTGATGGTTCTCGTTATAGCTTGGTTTCCGGTGTTTGGATTTCACAATTTATAGTCCATGACCTCCACCGGCAGGCCAGAATAATATCCAATTTTACTGAAATACCTTTTTAATGCCATGTAATATCATATGAAATCATAAGTACTGCAATTATATGATATGAATGCACGAAAATGCTCATACTGACATCCTGCACCTCTGTTGATGCGACCTGCAAGCCAGTGCTTTTGGGCGTCGCAAGGGGCGTGGCCACAGCTCAGCCATCTTGGAGGCAGCGAGCTCGTCTTCACTCAGGCGCCGGGCGCGAAGAGCATTCCATCTATGCACAGCACATTTGATTTCGCGGCACCAGGCCCGATGTGAAGGACCATTTGGTGTGCTTCTGAGAATCTTCTGAGATGCAAGATGATGCAATGATGATGCATGATGCAAGTTTGTTTCAAAATGCATGATGCAGAATGGCATGAGCAAAGGCAGCAAAGGTTTCTCATGAGCACCAGACTATTGATGCGCGTATTGATGCCTTTGATGCATTGAGCCATAAAATTTCAAAGTCTTGATTGAATCCTCGAGCCCGTGCTATTAATTTTCTCGAGACCAGCGATGTTTCTGGGATCTGTTGCTAGATGTTTTGGCTACTGAGATGCCAGGAAACTCTGAGTAGATTCACATGATTTCACCCTCTGCTCCCCTTTTTTTTGGAGTCAAACACCCCCCTCAAAAAATGTAATATTCACACTATTTTCAATTATATATTCAATATTATTCATATTTGTTTCCTGTACATTCATATTTGATATATCCGTATTATAGTACCTCTTTGCAGTCCTAGCTCCAGGTGAAGCTTCTCAGCATCTACTTCCATTTGGTCCGGCTTCAGATGCCATGGAAAACGCCATGGGTCGTTCATAGCAACGTGATGCCCAAGCCGAGGTCGTGGGCATCTTTCGAGTGGGCGGTGGTCCCTGCGAGCCAGGCGGTGGAGTTCATCTGCTGTTGACGTCCAACACTTCGATTGAGGCCGTCCTGGTGCGGCTGCCATGATGGGATTGTTTCGTTGTTCCAATATCATCCAATATCAATCCCATGAAATATCCCATGAAATATCAATATCAATATCATCCAATATCAATATTTGAATATCAGTATCATCCAATATGGGATTGTTTCATGAGATATCATCCAATATCAATATTTGTTCAATGCTGATTCACCAGAAAGCTTGATGCCATTGCTGCAGGCCGGAGTCGTGCATCGACCGCGGCTGTTGGGTGGGAACCAGGCGCTTCGATGCCCAAATCTCACTGCCAGTGGTCTGGCACAGTGGAGGCGGGAACGGGTACTGGCGTTTCACAGTGCTCATTTGGGTTTGTCTGAAAATGTTGTGTACCCCTAAACCCAATGGTTTTGCTGATCATTATCCCTATTAAATGGCTATAAGTGGGAATGTACCCTATTTTCAGACAAACCCATTTATGCAAATGGCATGTATAGTAGACTTTGTCGTTGCGTTGCAGAATGTAAGACTCCGAATTTCTGTTGATAACCAACCCATATTCAGAATTCATAGGAGCTGTGAATTGCTTGCTCTGTCGGCCTCCAGATGTAGCAATGTCGTTGTGCAATATATATATATATACGTATAATTATATATATATATATATATATTAGGGTACTTCTTTACTATATATATATATATTCCTGTGACTCTTCCTGTCCCTGTCTTGTCCAGAGTCTTGTGAGTTTGAAGGCGGCAGAGCCATCCCCAGCCAGGACAAGGACTGCTGGAGGCTCTGCATGAGTCGAGCCAAAACGATTCCAGTGAATGAAAGTTATTGAAAATTTAGAGTTTGGACTTTAGACGTTACCCAGTTGCCTGCAGCCACATGTATTCATTCTGGCATGCTCTTACACTGTGCGGTTCAATTGGGCCAGCTTGTGCGCAGGTGAGTCGGCAAAGTTTCACTTGGTACAGACCAGTCTTTGACCTTTCATGGCATCAGGCAGCCACCTGGCCAAATTGAAAGATAGCAGTGATGCAGACTCAAAGGTACCAAAACAGGTCCCCGCAACTGATTTCCCCACAGACCATTTTCGCCAGCCAAGTCCATTGAATGGCATTGAATGGCATTGAACTTTTCTGAGGTTCTGGACGGTTTGACCTCCCCAGATGGCCTGTCCGAGCTATTGCCTCTACAAGCCCCACCTGTCCCGACCCACTTTGCGACATTGGAAGGGTTGAAGGCACCAGGGACAGAGCAACAAGATTCCGTGAGACATGCAGATTTCAAGATCTTTCAACCAGCAATTAGCGGCTATGTCAATGGATTGCGTCCTGTTCTGAGGTGTCTCAACGAAACGGGCGCTTCCAAGAGGAGATCCAAACGGTCAGGAGCTTGGAAGAAGAGGCTAGTTACGATCCAAAAGGAGCTCAATGATAATAAGTGCTTCAGTTCACTAGGACAATCATATACAATTGTGCTTTGAAATATTTTGAAATACTGTATTATCTATGCCATCTATGCCATCTATGCCACTGAATCCATCCTTTTTGGATGTTTCTTTTGCTGGCCAGCTATCCACCGCGTTCCAAGGCCTGGTGCTGGGATTTGGGCCAGGGACCCAGCTCCTGGACGTCGTGCCTGGGAGGTCCAAGTGATCTGCCGGCCGTGCATGAGAAGTGCTGCTTCCCAACACAGGAGCCGGCGCCATGTCGACATGACATGTGGTGATCAGACATGATATGACAATAATATGACGGTATATATATATATATATATACATACATAAAGTTTATATGAGTTTAGCTTATTATGATGAGATATATTATGAGATGATATGAGTGATGTGTTGGGTGATCCATGGTTGCTGTGATGATTGCTGCTGTTCAGGATTTTTGATTATTGTTGATCTTATTTGTCATATCAGTATATATCGGTATCAGAAATGACTATCAGATTCAGTATCATCGAATCATCAATGATTGGTTGGTATTTGGCATTTTCATCTTATACAATATTTGCAGTGAGGGGCCCTGAGAGCCCCAAAAATTGGCAACTCCATCAGTTCTCGTCAGGCCTTCTGCGCTCGTTGGGTGTCCAGTGGCGCTTTCTCCGACTTAGTGCGTCAAGCAGGTGAAGCGGTGCTGCAAGAGACGCGTGAATTCCAATTGCTGGATTGGTGCGCACCCAGTGGCTTGCCAGCTACAGGAATTCAGGACCAACAAAAGAAGCAATGAAGGCTGTGACATTTTTGATTTGAAATTCTGATCGGATTCTGATCGGCACCAACAGCTGGGCATGGCTTTTTACTTCCTGCTCTAGACACATTAGACATCATTAGACACTCTAGTGATCTCGAGTGACTCTGGTCACTTTCTGTTCAACACTTCTCGGCTCGCCCCAGGTGAGATGTTGAGGGATCGACGAGCTGAGCAGATCTGCTCGGATCAAAGCACTGCAGCTCGGCTCAGTGAAGCAGGTCTCATCAGTAGGGAATGCTAGGGACATGGTAGGTTAATGTAGGTCAATGTAGGTTAATGTAGGTTAATGTAGGTTAATGTAGGTTAATGTAGGTTCTGTGTGATGAAACGCCTGGAGCCAGATCAAGTTGGACATGGTAATCATTGGCAATGTGGTGTAGGAAGCCATGTGAAGTGGTCAGGAGAAGATGCAGCTGATTTGCAACATGCGCGCCGCATCCGGCGATTTGTTGCCTTCCATGGCACCTCGTGGTGAAGCCATGCATCGCCTGTGGAAGGAGCTGGAGTTTGTGTAAACTTCCAACGGCTCCAGGCATCTTTCGTACTGTACTTGCTGCCAGTTCAAGTGGGCATCCGCAATAAGGCTTATACGAAAAGTCTGGGAAATTATCATCCAATCTTATTCTAATTGAAAGTGGAAAAGATATGAACAGATAACTTGAGTCACTCTGCATGCTGCGCATGTTGTTCATACTGCAGCGGGGCCACCCGCAGGATGTGCCGCGTCACCGGACCAAAGGCAGATCTGCTTGAACTGGTCTCGAGAATGTCATCCAAGCAGGCAGCAGTCACTGGATACAACCACCGTGGGCTTGCAGCACTGGGTCCGACCATTACCATGCCACCGTGGTCCATCTACTACATCTACCTGCTTCACCAATCCTTGTGGTATTGCAGTTTTGAGATGCAGATGTGGTGTACAACTTTGAGGTGAGATGGCTACAGCAGGCCAGATGATTTTGACGAAGAATCACCTCTTGTGGCTCTGGAGACTGCTTGAGTTTTGGGAGGAGGTTGCTGCGCCAACAGTAAATTTCCATCCAACATCATTGCCCTGAGCAGTGCGAAGAAAACAACACCTCATCGCTTACATCAATGATCCGTCCAGAGATCATGAAGATCTATAGGGCGGCGAACATTTGCGAACCATGCAGATCGATGTGTGCCAAGCCAATGTACTAGACCTTGAGGGAAAAAAACTGTACAGTGGAGTGCCCTGCGAACGCAAAGGGCAACAAAAAGGCTGTTGCACTTCTGAAAGTGGAAAGCTGACAAGCAGCTATAAGACCGCCTATGCATGTTAAATATCACATATTATCACATAATCGTACATATTATCACATAATCGTACATATATCCTCCATATGCCAGAGATTTCTCTACAGACGGCGAAATCATGTTCTCATCCCCAGCTCCTTGACAGGATGGCGGCGAGCCGTTTGAACCGCTGTGCCTCCCTGAGTTGCTGCCGTCGAAGTGCCGGTCCCCCCGTCATCCCGTCATCCCGTCGCCAAGGCCAGCCGGGCTCGATCGCAACTCCTCGGAGAGCTGTGACTTGGCGATCACGGCTACCGGGGGGAAGCGGTTGACAAATGGGTGTAGACTCTTGAACAGCCAGGCGATAGAATGGATATGCATAGATGATTTGTTTGATAAGTGGATGGAGAGCCAGTTTATGGGGATAAGGACTTTGCGGACATTGACGTTTAATTCAATCTGCGAAATGAATGTTTTGTCCCTACTCATTTGCACATACCTGCCGTGTCCCTCAGATGCTAGCCAATGGTCCTGCCTGGCACTGAGGTTTCATGGTCGACGCGAACAGCCTGAGGAGAGCCGCTGTGAAACACGTTCGAAATCTGCAGAAAATCTGCAGTGTATCAGTCAGGAGTGCAAACACACCACCTCGAGGCCACTATTCTGGAGTGGAATTTCAGAGATCAAGATGTGTCCATAGACGATTAATGATTACTGCAGTTTCCAGATTCAACATGATTCAATCGTGATTCAACCGTTTTGGTTGCCACCTGCCATCACTTCATCCAAGGTGGCACAGTCTTGGGCCCTGCGAGTTCCAGAGGCCTTGATCCAGCGAAAGCGGCTGTGGTGGTCCCGTACCACGAGCTGCGGCTGGTGAAGGCGGCATGGGGAGGTGATGCCATGGATTCCTCCATATACCCTCTGGTGAACTAACATAGCAATGGAAAATCACCATGCTATTAATGGGAAAATCCACTATTTCTATGGCCATTTTCAATAGCTATGTTAGTTCACCAGAGGGTACCTGGTATGTGTACAGGATGCTACAGGGGATATATGGGCTATATAGGTCTGGACCCTTGGAAGGTCAGGTCTTTGGGATTCTTTTGGCATGGGATGTTTCCTGCTGTTTCTTGCGGTGGCTTCTGGCTGCACCCCTTGTGGTGTCCAGAGGGTGCACCACTGCAAGTATTGTAAGTTGGAACTAGTATTATGCAGTATATATATATATAGAGATTTTGAATGATCCGATGAGGATGTTGTAGGTATCTCATATCAAGCTGATCCCTCCGATTTTGCAGGAGGAACTCCGGGAGTTCGATGAGCAGACGCAACTGGATGTGAGGGAATTTCGACATCGCATTGCTGAGGTAGGCACGCACGGCTGCAAGACATACAAACAGTTGAGAACATACGTAGGTGTGTTTGAACATGGTCTTAAGATAACCATACGATCAGGCAAATCCATTGGCATGTTCTCAGCCAGGCTTCAAGAGTTCAAGAGGGCTTTCGGTCTACTACTGCGTCCAATGATGTCCAATGTGTTTCGTTTCTTCCTGTGCGTCACACTATCTCACACTCACTTGGTAACCACCTCGCGCAAAACATGACCAGCGGAGTCCAACAGATTGCAAATGATCCATTTTGTTTAGCACGTGTTGCCCATGGTCGGGTGGATTGATTTAGGTGGACTGCCATGAATTGCTACGGGGTGCCAGGCTGAGCGCGAGCTCTCAGGGCTTCTGAGGAGTACGGCTGAGTTTCGGAAGGAGGTTCGATGGCGACTATTTCCATCATTGGACGAGTTTGATGGCCTTGACATTTGACATTTCGACACGTTTGGATTTCGGATGTGGTTTGAGATGCTTTGAGGGTTGCCGTCCATGACGGCTTGCAGAATTCGCCATGGGCCATCGGCGGAATGGCTACTTTGGCTCCTACTTTGGCTCCTGCAGGTGGACGATGCTGAAGCCAAATGGCATAAACATCAAGACTACAAAAAAGCTATGGCCCCAGAGGCGATGTCAAACTGAAAGGAAGAAAGAGCAGAGTTCCATTGCCCCCATTGCCATTCCTAGGTTTTGATGGATGCTGTGCAGGCGGTGCCTGCCTCAGGTCCCTTGAGGTCTCTGAATTTTGATCATTTCCAGATTGTGAACGTGCAACGCCGGATGTCCACCGGCAACAACCTTTGCAAGACCTAATGAAGGCTGGCATTTATTTCATTGAGGCCTTGGATTCAACCAAAAGCTCTGAACCGATGGAACATGCTCCCCATGATCCTTGGCAGCATGTGATGATCCAACAAGTGATCTAGATCCGTAAAAGGTTTTGTTGTGCCACGCCTTTGTCCATTTGAGTGAGCGGTCGGACCAAGGAACTTCTCACTGACTGCTTCGAGAAGTTCGGGATCCTAAGTAGCCGATCATCGTGTTGATTTTCTTCTGAGATGATGCAAGCAAATGCAAGCACATTTTGTGGCACAGGTTTTCCGGAGTTGATGAGTTGAAACGGATTGTACCATTGTCTCGTGGCTCAAGCCGCCACCAGCCTCAATCGCACCAGCAGAGTGTGCCGTTGCGCCATTGCGTCCTCTCTATAATGTTTGAGAGTCAAGATCCAGTCTTTGGTGCTCGCCCCAAGGTGTCTTCCAACAGCTTTGCGAATGGCTCGAATCAAAACTGTGGGAATTCCATCGCAGACATCCCAACCACACGGGTGGCGGCACCACCTGGAGGCAAATCCTCCCTTTGTCTTGGCTGGGATGAGCCACCGCCCCAACCACGAGGCAAAGGTGGCAAAGGCGGCAAAGGGGCCATGCCATGGACAGAGCAGTGCCCCCCAGCAGGTGCACCCGCCAGGGCACCCGCCGGAGCACCCGCCAGGGCACCCGCCGGAGCACCCGCCGCACCTGGTGCACCTGCTGGTGCCGGTGCTCGCAGGCCGCCTGAGGAGATTTATGGAGTTCGACCACGTGAAAGTTCCAACAGCTATGCCAGTGGCCACAACCAGAATACCGGAAATGTGTTGACCGGAGTTCCAACCACCCGTGTCTCAAGGCCACCTGGGGGTCATTCTGAGATGAGTCTGGCTTGGGACACCAGTTCCGCTCCAGCAGCAGGTCGTGCAGGTCGTGCTGCCGGTGGTGAAGCTTTCGGTCAACGAGTTCGAGTGTCATCCAACTCCTATGCCAATGGAGCAGACCAAAATTGTGGAAATGTGCTTTCTGACACGCCAACCACTCGAGTTCTACGTCCACCTGGGGGTGGTAGCAGCCTGAATCTTGGTTGGGCTTGAGACTCTGAGATGGCATGAGACTGGCCTGAAGGGATCTGCAGTTGTTGGTTCCTGTTCCCCATGGTCGCAAATCCTGGCGGCCGGGGCGGCGCGGCCGAATTCTGCATTCAATTGGGTAGTGGAAGCGCCACCCGACATAGAGCATCAGTCTTGACTGGCTGCTGCAAATGCAGCATTCGCAAGGTTGAAGAATAATATCGTCTCTGCAGAACAAAATGCCCATGGCAATTAAGTGAGAAGCACTTGTGGGTGTGTAGGTCTGTTGGCTGGATATTTTTCTACATGGTCCTTTAGTCTCTCGATCAAAATCCCCCGCCCTTTGAACGAGGCATTGTTTTCCCCTTTCTCAACTGCTCTCCACGTAATTGCCGCTTTGAAGTTCGTTGGTATTTTTGCAACCTTCATTTCGTTCATGCTGAGGCTTCACAGGCTTCAAAACGACATGCTGGAGGAGGACCGCAAGCGCAAGGCCTTTGACTGTGCTCAAACTGCGTTCTCAAAGTAGCAGGTGACATCAACCCACAATTTACTGGTACATGCTTTTGGCAGGCGTTGTTGAAGGAGCAAGTGACTTAGCACACTTCCAGTATCTTCCAGTGGTGTCACTCTGAAACTGATGGAAATACACTGTGATATCGAGTGATATGAACATGTGAGATCTTTTGAGTTGATTCACCAGTTGACCTCCCATGTGACTGTACTTGTAGCTTCCCAAACCATTAGGCGCAGCTAGGGCCACCTTTAACTTTATTTATGATGATTTAAGAATTAATATATTATATAATATATATATATATTGTGAACAATTTGATCCTTGTTCTGGATTATCCCTTTTAATCGTAGTACCGGTTATGCTGGTAGTGCAGGGCAACGTCACTGCATGGCGTTCGGAGAACGGTCTTTTTCCTCGCGCATGACTTGAGCCAAGTGATTGGCGGTCCATGCTCAATTGTTTACATGCTCAGCATGTGTAGTGGCTATATTACCTGGTTCCCTTTCGCACCCCCCATGCCTATGGCATCTTCGAACCATAGGCACGAGAGGGGGAACCTTGAATTAAATTCTTTCTGCTGCTCGAATTACGCCTATGTACATAAAACTTGCCATTCGGCTCCCCCTTTCCCGCATTCCCGGCGGGAATAATGGTTCCGGGTTCGCCTACTCTATGGCCGTCGATGCATTGGCGCGTCTTCAAGCTGTACATCGCGAATTAATGCTAGCTAGCGTCTACTTTTCTACGTTTGCTAGGCTTGCCACTCACCTGACAGGTGAAATGGACAGCTTTGCTACCAAAGATTTACGATGCTAACTAACGAATTCACGTGCACTAAGCAGAACTTCGTGCAGATTGGGAATAATGAAAAGTATGAACCTAAGCGAATTAGTCTACTGCCTCGCTCAGAGTCCACTCAGTTGGTCTTTTGCTAGATCATCTGTTGATAAAGATGATAAACATCTTATTGTTCAGTGATCACTTTGATGGACAAAGGTAGTTGGATTACTGATCACGTTTGACCTTCTTCCATTGTGGAGTTGTTGATGTCCTCTCCCATCCTGCCGCACGTTTCGGCGCGGCTTTTGGCGATGAAGGCTTTGCGGATGATGCTTTGGCTGGTTCATAGGATTTCGGCATAGCTTTCGCCTTTGGTGCGCTTGCCGATGAGGATGACGTTGAAGCAGTTCCTTCAGGTTTCTGTGAAGGTTGTGCAAACTTGTGAGCTGCACTATGTCCGACTGCTTTGAATACCTCACTCACCACTTCGTCGCCCAATGTTGGAGCCATCTTCATTTTCATCTCGGACTTTCCCCTCTGCGCCTCAGCCTCAGCCAGTTGAATAGCATAAGCCATCTTGCTGATGAAATTTTGAGGCAATGGAATCCCGCACTGTTGTGCGGCAAAGAGTAATTCTACCTTTTGCTCCTTTTCCCTCAGACTCAAATACACAGAGAATGCTGGGAGTTCGATGCAGTTGGGGAACCCATGGTTTCCGGAGCGAAAGAATGTGTAGGATTCATGTTCTGGAAATGTTCCTTTCAGCAGTCGTCTCAGAAAGTTGCTGATTGTCACTCTCATCTCCTGTTTGCCTTTTGCATCAGCCTGCATACGGTTCAGCGGCATAAGGAAGCCTAAGGACTCGGGAGTGTACCCAGCACACACGAGAAATTCCATCATCTTCTCGTAGGTCTCCAAGGTTTTGACGACTGGCATCATCATATTCCTTGGTCGTCCTGCGTATAGTTTCTCTCCCTCAGACCATGAGTTCTTTTTCGCTTTCTCTTGAAAGAGATTGTCCAACTCCAGCTCCGTTGGTTGATTGAGGTTGCCATCCTCGTCTTCGCCTGTATACGGACAGAAGTCGTCCAGGTCCAACCGGACCCGTTTGGTCACCGTCATCAGCTCATGATATTCCTCTGGTGTCAGAGTGACTCTTTGATTGTAGTACAGTCTGAACATCGAGATAATTTTCGACATTACGGCGTTGTCGTACAAATGAGCTGCGGCCTCGGAGACGTCGTTGTTGACAAGCCCGTTTCCTGGCATACCTTTGCTCCCGCAAACAAGGTTCTTAGTCCATGCCGGAAGTTTGTAGGTAGGTTCATCTTCAGGTTCGACGTCCATCTCATCGTCTTCTTCTTCTTCCACGATTTCGTCGTCTTCCTGTTGAGTTTCTTCCTCCTGTTCCATTTCATCATCATCGCCTTCATTGTAGTCGACCTCGTCAGGATTGAAGCCGTAGTCATTGGATTCGGGTACGTTTTCTTGAGCTTGGTGTACCGTATCCTTGAACAATGATTCTTCTTGTCGACGAACCTCCTCATCGAGTTCTTTCTTTGTGGCTTCATCTTCATCGTCTTCAGGAGCTTGTAGTCGATATGGACGAATTCCACAGCTTTCAAGCTCTGTCCGGCAAACCAGACACACTGCCAACTTTGTTGGCGTCTCATTGAGACAGTGTGGGCAATGTCGGCAACCCGAAGTTTGTACCCTCTTGCGCTCGACAATGTAGTCGATCAGCTTGATTCGGGCGATGTATTGTTCTTGTCCTCCGGGTTCAATGAGGTTGTTCTTGAACTGGTTGACGATGTTCATGGCATCCATGGTGACCTCATCATATGGTTGGTCTTCAGCGTCAATGCATTGACTTGCGACCCTCAGGATGGATTCCTTGGTGGCAACTGTCCTTGATTTGACTGTGCCAGACCGGACTACCTGGTCGTCGCCCGACGGGACAAACAACCGGATCCAGGTCTTGTTGTGTTGATCTTTCGGATCTTGGATCCATCCTCCTCTGATCGCTGAGAACGGGATGATCTTTGGGGAAACGATCTGTCCCGAGTCTGTCAATCGACCACCATACTCCACCATCAAGGTCTCGGTCGGGATGAAGAGGCAAATGTAGTCTCCCCTTCGCGTATCAACGCTCTTCGTAATGGTCCATGATCTGTGATCCCATGGCACATACGGATTGAAGAACGTGAACATACGATGACCTTCTCCAAGACCTCCCGGAATTAATCCCTGCCTCCAAATGCTTCGAAGGTTGGTTTTCTTAGTGATGTGGAAGCAGACCGGTAGTGACATGATGGTGTTGGGTGCAATTGGATGCGAAAGTGATGATGACAGTAATAATACGTCATCCCTGGAAGATCCTTCTTTGTGCCCCGTAGGAGCGCGGACTGCGACTGGATAGCTCAATAGGCCCTCGTCTGGGATGTGCGTGTCGGCGGTGACCTTGTTGTCGATGCAAGTCAGGCTGTTACGATCGATGTCCTTGTTGATCCCGAATGCTAAGACTTGCTCTCGCACACGACGTCCATATCGGGCACAGTGGAACATGATCTTGAACAGCAATGTCATGCGATAGTTCGCCTCCTCGATATCCCAAAGACTTTGATCATTTGCCCTTCCTTTGGGGGGGAGGAAATGGTGCGGCCAGCGATGGTGCTCGTGTCTCCATATGGCCTCACATTTCAGTACTTCCTCGATAGGCACCCAGCCGGCGTCATCACAAAATAGACTTTGTGATTCTGAGACCTTCCCCACATTGTGGCGTAGGATTCTGTTCAACGAGGTGCTCACCTTGTCCTCGTAGGCATCGAGTCGGTTGCCAGTCTCAAAGCGGTAGTTCGCCGCATATTCCACACCACCGAAATAGAAGCAATTGTAGAAGTGGGCTCCTGTGGTAGGTATTATTTGTAAGAAACCATCTTGCGGCGCTTCGACTCGCTTGTAGAAGGGTTTTCTGATGTTGTTGTCGGAGTAGTTTGACATGAATTCTGGTACAGACCAGGTGTCACCTCCACCCCTGACGATAGCGTCCCGGACTACTTCGTTGAGGTCAACGAGGTTTTGGGGTCCCAGCTTTGTGACATCACGCCCTTCAATGCAGAATCTACCATACTCATCGAGGTCTCCAACTTCAGACATGGTCCTGATGCTGTCGTACCATTGGTGTTCACTAAACCTCGGTTTTGTAGGTTCATCCGCTTGTGCCGAACCCTCAGTAGCACCTGATTCCTCCTTCTTGTGTTCAGGAGGCTCCATATCGGCGTCATCAGACGTGGGACTATCAGCCTCGAGCGACGCTCGAACAGCCTTTAGTGCCTTTCTGATTTCGTCCCTCCTTCCATGTTCACATTCAAGATGACCATGTTTGGTGCTACCACAGTACAAACACACATTGACATCCTCAGAGACGGTAAAGAGTTTCCCCAATGCATCCAAAAGCTGTTGTTTTCCGGAAATCTCTGAGTCCCTGACTACATCAGTGGGATCATCTGCTGGCTCATCAGCTTCCTCCGCCCCAGGGTGAGCCGACGGCTCGTCACCCGGTTTGGCATCGGCATCAGCGCCCATGCTCGTGTCATCCCCTGTGATGTTGTGCTTTCTTCGATACTGGGATAATACCTGATCTTTCTCCCACTCCGTGAGGCAGCAGAAGTTGGCCAGCGAGTCATATCCTGGAATAGCATGGATGATCTTCATGACTCGTTCTGCTTCTGCAGTCTGCAGGGTGCAGTCGAATGATCCCCGTCTCTTGTCATTGATAGTGCTTGTAGTTCTGGAGGTCGATGTGAATTGTCCCAATGCCTTTTCCAACCCGTTGAGATATTCAGCCGGATCAACGCTGGCATTGAAAACGTCCACAACCCCTTTGGCCATGTTGGCCACATCCAAGACACCAAGCCAGAACTCGATGATATCTCCAGTCTTCTCGGCTGATGCACGGGAGAATCCAAAGATCTCGTTCCTTTCCTTCACTTCAGGAACCGCGACCTTCTCAAAGAAGTCCTTGTAGGCGACATTTCCACAATCCTTTGTGACCCTGTAGGCCAGGTGCCATTTCTTCGCGACATCATCAAAAATCCGTTCGCGATAGATGCTGAATTGCTTGCCGCGTCCATTCCGGAAAATCTCCAGAGCTTGCCTCTTTGAAATTCTGACTCCTCCCATGTGAGATAGAGATTTCATCAAGTGCTCCCCATAAGTCAACACAGCATTTG